CACGGTTACTGTGGTTGATGTGAACGCATTTACATTTCACCCGTCACATTTCAACAATAAATTATAGTGCGCAAGTATAGCTATCGCACAACAAATCAAGGTGAGGAAATTCCTAAAATATTATTAACGTAAAATTATGAAAGACGAGTCTAACGTCCGTATTCTAAAAACTCACTCGCATTCAAACTCATTGCATGAGTGGGAGATTTGAATCACGTCATGTAGCGATTCATTGACGGTATTTCTGCTCAAATATGAACTTATTTTCAATGTTCTACCTTGAAACTTTCATTGACTAAAGATAGGACTCTATATATTTCACATGGATCAGTGATAAAAGAAATTCTCAGTTATGCTCATTGAGCAATTTTGTGAATGTTGATGCTGACAGAACTCGAGTTTATTTATATGTCTTTGAAACGTTAGCCAGTTCGTCCACAAACCACATGTTGAATGTCATGTTCCCAATCGGGGATGCTTATCAAAAACCTACTCTTAGTCTTGTGCATGTATTACATTACCCAATATGGAACGAATAAAGCCTCGTCTATCTCATAAATTGTAGCGAAATGCAAATATTTGCACGCACGCAAGGAGTATGTACTTCGTTTCTGCCAGAAACAACTGAACATGTACAAGACGATAGAGATGGGTCAATATAAACTAATAAGCACTTGCTACTCGATACCTTTGATATTGGAAAAACATCAATACTTCCGATGCTAAAAAAGGATCGAAATTTGCCGATACATATATGAGCCTGTGGCATGGTAACGAATATGATGAAACTGTTAATTACGATAAGAAGCGAAAGAAAACGAAATTTCTAACTTACTTCTGGTATTTGCATGGCATATTTTGGTTTTGTTCAGTGACTCAAATGAACAAGAATACATAATATGTAAACACAGTTTTTGTTGTCTTACAATTAGTAATTAATTTTGCCGAAAACTTTCTGTAAAAAATAACAGTGAAAGTATTTAAATTTAGCATTACAAGCATTCACAAGTCCAAATTTTGACTGACGTACTATTTTTAACATCTAGAATTTGAGAGATATAAATCCACCACGTTGAAAGATGTCTTTGCTTGACTACTTTGGTTTAATCGTGCTTCTGCATTTTTCAACCGCAATATGTGGTCATGAAACTTCGACAAATAATGTTACCGCTTGCAAGACTGTTCATTTCGATGGATCAAAAGTGGAAAATCTGCTCGAACTAATGCTTAAACCCACCATAAAGACCATTGAAATAACAGCGATCGTTGCCTCTACAAACAAGACTCGAGTTTTTCCAGAAATGAAATGGCCTTGGGCGAACGAAATTGGTCGCACCTTAATATCCTTGGTCACTCAGGCTAAAAGTGATGTATTTGCTTCGCCTCTTTTCACCTTTCCATTAGAAGTCGGAATAAGAAGAACTTCTATTGTAGCCACGGAGGACCCTGTTGGTTGCTTACCATCCGGGAAAAATGGAAGTGATCAGGTTTTTAACCATCTTTTAAAAGAGCTTTTCTCTCACATTCAAGATAAAAGTAATAACAAGTATTATCAATTGTGCCGACCGCTTAATGAAGCACCTTACAGATTCAATTGCTGTCAAATAACCGGTGGTAGAAAGTTGACACTCTGTGTTGATTATTCCTCTATTGTACTTGAATGGGCTCGTCCGGGGTCAGTGGCCGCGGTGGCTGTATTCTGTATATTGACGTTACCCTTCGTGCTTGAACATGTTATGACCTACAAAGAAATGACGTTTTACAAATCTTCGTTCAGTCATATGTCTCTTATTTCTTTTTTTTCTATGATATTTTGTGAAGGTCGTGGAAGGGGTAAATCTTTCTTCAGACGATTAGCTTTTTTAGGATTTTCGTTCACAGTGTTCTTTCCAGCCGGGTATTTCAAAAAGAACTATTTCCTCGTGTTTTTCATTACGTGGGCTGTGTGTTTCTGTTTCTGTCACTTTTTTCGCATTTTATTAGAAAAAAAATGCCCCTGTATTAACATGAAAGAAAAATTCGAGTTGAAGTTTAAAGAAAATCTAATCTCCTGTTTCAAAATTCCGATTTCCCTTCCCTTTGTTAACGAACATTCCAACAACATTTTGATAGATATTGGGCTTTACCTTGTAAAAATTCCGCTTTTAGTGTTTTCTCTTGTCCTTGTACCATTATGTCTGGTAAAATTCGTATTATTTGACTTCATATTACGTTTTGTTTTTCCATTTACTTGTGTATGTAGATGTACATGTAGTGAATGTGGAGAAGGTTATGCCAAATTTTTGGTTAATTTCTTTGCAGTCCCTATAAGGCTTTTGACTTTAACGGTGATCATCTTTCTTTCTGCGTGGATTCTTCTTTTTGGTCTTACTATGACGGTTGGCTTGATTCTAAACGGAGAATTCTTCAATCCTTTCTTTGCCCCGGTTGTGACTTTGATAGCCTTTGTCTGGAAGAATTGGCAGCTCTTGGTTGAAGCGCAGTGTCTGCAACTCAAAACATTAATTATCCGTGTTTGCAAGAAGAAAGCTGAGAAGACTAACGTTGGCATAGCTAACAACGAAACAACAGCAGAAACCAGTCCCCCCAATCAACCCAAAACTACTGCTAACAACCAAACCGAAACTAGTTCCAACAACGTAACATCACATAAAAGTGAAAATAGTCTTGATGAAATACATAGCATATCAGACCGAGGCTCAGACGTACCAGGTGGATCATCGCCTGGTGGATCGACTGAAGAAAATAGTTGTTCAAAAGCATTCAATAGTATTTTAAAATTTTTCTGCTCGTGTAGTTATTTGTGCACTGAAAATGAATACAGTAATCTTTCAGGTAAAATGATAATCTATTTTACCCTGGCATTGGTAGCTATAATAACGCTTTTACATGCTCACACAATTGTGTATACTTGTATAAATATAATTTACATATATATATATATATATATATATATATATATATATATATATATATATATATATATATATATATATATATATATATATATATATATATATATATATATATATATATATATATATATATATAAATGTAACCCGAAAAGCCCCGTGCAGACATGATGCTCTAAACTGATTCTAGTATTTCATAATTAAGAATTTCTAACATTTCCTGATGAAAACCCAAACTTCCCCAATTTTGTCAATATGTTGGCAATCTTCATACTTAAGAATATTTCATTTTACTTTTCTTACTCCTGTTGTAGACGATGAGACTGATGCTGCTGAAGAACAAAATCTTGCCATCAAATTTGACGAAAGAACTGGCGAGGCAATGATATCGAAGAAACTTTACAAAGAAGTCAGCGAAGAAGTTCTTCCCTTGGGAGATCTATTATTTCATTTCTTCAGAAGAGTCCTTTTCGTTTGCATATACGCTTGGGCTATGTTGATTGTCCTGATTCTAGGAGAGGAATCGGGAATTTCAGGAAGTGTTCGAGCAATTAGCTCTATTGTGGCTTTCTTATTACCGTTCATTTTTAACACAATTTACGCCGATAATGTAGAAGCACAGAAAGCTTCCACAAAAATGGCAACGACGGAAAAGCTTGAACACATACTGAAGATTGAGAAACGCGAAAATAACATGATTTTTGTTGAATTGGTTAATTGTTCAACCGAGAGAGAGAACGAAGATGTAGTTTGAACTGGTTTGAAATGAAACTGCCTGGTTGAATTGCCAAGTTCATTCCATGTTTTATCAGTTTTATATATAACAATTAAGTATATATATAATATAATATAATCTTTTTCTGCATGTTTAAATGAAAATCACGATTTTTATAATACATCGTTAATGCATCTTCTATAAACAAATGGCGATATGAAAGCAAAAATGAAAGTGCTAGAATAATTGAAATTGTTAGAAAATATATCCAAATAACTTTACGTCCTGCTGTTTTTTTGTCACTGCGCTATATGCATAGAACTTCGCACTGAGTCAACAGAAAATCAACTACAACAACAGGGCTTTTTAAAAGACCAATGAATTCTGCTCTGCTTCATAGGTAATAATACACAAATGCACATAACTTTCAATATGCAATTAATTTTCGCGTATCATATTTCAGAAATTCCTTCAGGCAAGTCTTAAATTAAAGGATGTAAACTTTCAATACAGGACCAATGATTGCCTTAATCAAAGTATCTTGTATTATATTTGGAAATCCCACACTGTGGCAGTATTTCTCATTGCCTTGTTTTTCAGAATATTCTTCAGCGTCATTCGGTTTTCTTAATTCAATCCGATTATTCCTTAACGGAGAAACACTTTCAGTCGAAGCGAAATACTTCTTAAAACGGCCACATTACCATATTTGTAACGCAAATCCGATTCAAACTACACATGGTGACCAGAAGGGGGAGGGATACAAATAACACCCATGCAGACCTTTTCCTTTGTTATCAAGTTGGACTATGAAAGTGAGCCTATGATTCCAAGAAAACTAGACCACCAGGTCACCGAGATGTTTTTGCCCTGAGGTCGAGTGCTGTCCCATTATTACCCGCACTTTTTCGCGATTTTTTTCGTGTTTCTTTCATATTTTATGATATCGTTGTCGGAAACTTCTCGAGTCTTACGATGTTTTAAGTCATTGGCTCCATTGCTTCCACTTTGCAAGGATTAGACGAAAGCTTCCAAGAGCTGCGACATGCCCTAAAGTCGAAATATGGCGGCGTTCTCTGTTGTTCAGATAATCCTGGAGAAATTGAAGTTGCGTTTATAGCTGAAAAGCTTACAGCTTGTATTTAACATAAATTATCAGTTTTTACAAAGGCGATAAGGGATGTTGACAATAAACCACCTGTCGTATGTAAAACACATTCCCGAAGCAGTTTGAGATCAAATTCAATTTAATTGAAGTTGGAGCCTATTGGTCTAGAGAAGCGTTAGCGTGGTCTCCATAGAAACTAAATTCGCGTCCGCTGAAGTGCAAGTTGTTTTCAGAAAACTGCCATTGCGTTTCTGATCAGCTCTGGGATAACAAGAGTTCACCACCGTCTTCAATTGCTGAATATCATCCATTTCACGAGGCCCGGGTAAGTTGAAATAAAGTGTAAATTGAACTTAGACTGAGCTCGCGTTAAGGCCGGTTTCACTTGCGATTTTATGTGCGATTTTATGTGCGATTTTCCTCTTTTGATAGATGTGAATTAATAATTAGTCACGAATGCTCTGATGTATAAGAGCTCTTATTTGAACATCAGTAACTAATTCACTCGTTAACATCTATGAAAAGAAGAAAATCGCACATACTAGAAATCGCAGCAAAAATTGCAAGTGTAAACGGGCCTTTAGAATTTTGCGATATTTTGCTCAATGTCAGACCTAAACTAATATCGCGATAAAGATATAAAAGATATGAATTATGTAAAACACAAGATGTCTATTTTGAGAATTCGTTTTATTATTTTGTATTTCTTGAAATTGTCTGCTTGTTGCGGTAACTAATATCGCAGGGCGAGACTGAAAGGCACATATAAAAAGATGGTTTGAGTTCAAAATTGTGGACTGAGGTCGATGGGCATGCGACAGCTGCACCGCAAGAGACAAGGAAAATATGTAGTTGCTATGGAAACTTGATTATAAACGTGGCATTTGTTACAAACAAAAAAAAATATTCTCTAGCGCATTTAGGCTTACTGACGGTCTCGACGCAAAATTTATGCGTTGCTCCTTCAGTTGTTACCTGTTGCATAAAACTAAAAACATGACGCATAATTTTGCCAACGGTTGTGCGAGCAAATAGATTATAAAATACATTTTATTAAATGCTAATACTGGAAAACAGATCGCATTCATATATAATACATTCTAAATGTATCGGGTAACTTGAAATGTAAAAAAATAGGTTGCACACCACGTACCCCCAAAAAGTTGTTCTGGTGTAAATTTGGCCTGAGAACATTTGAATTTACAGTGTGATTACGAGACATAGGACTATATAGAAAAGGAATCCAACGAAAATTTCATCGGTGTTTTGTACAAAGCAGGACAAATTGAACATGTTGTGATTAATATTTGCGGGAAAAAAGGCAGCGCTGAAAGGGCAACGCGTAATTTATAGTTAAAAAAATTAAAAGTAAAAAGTATAAACATGTAAAATATGAAATCCTTTTTCTTAATTGTGAATATTTGGCAAAAGAACGAAACTTTATTACTATGTACTTTTAAGAACTAACAAACGGTTCCTTAATTACGAGACATATGTAACTAGAAGGGGGTCAAAAATCATAAATAATATATCGTTTCAATATATTGTTTCATTTTAAACCTGTAGATCAAAGCTTGAAAATCATCAACGTTTCAAGATGTCTCCATCTCACTACTTGGCTATCCTCGTGTATTTACAATTGTCAACAGCAATAATTGGTCACGAGAATTTAAATGCCTCTTGTGTCGTCCAATTTGATGAATCTAAACTAGCTGATGTGCTACATCTGATTCGTCAACCCGCCATTAAAACTGTTGAAATAATATTGACCGTGGCCTCCGCGAACAGAACTCGTGTATTCCCCGAAATGAAGTGGCCTTGGGCAAACGAAATTGGTCGCACCTTAATCTCGTTAACATCTCGTGCTAAAGGTACCATCTTCTCTTCGCGTATTTTTACTTTTTTATTAGAGGTCGGAATGGAAACGGTTTTTATTGAAGTCACAGAGGAAACTATTGGGTGTTTACCCACTGGGATGAAAGGATCAGATCGAGTTTTTTCCGAACTTTTGGAAAAGCTTTTTTTACACATCGAAGATAAAGAAAACGACAATTATTACAAACTATGTCGTCCTCATGTTACTAAAGGACCCGTTCAGTTTAACTGTTGTCGAATTACTGGTGATAGCAAGTTGAAAATCTGCGCTGATTATTCTTCAATTGTGCTTAAGTGGGCTTTACCAGTAATAATAACAGCACTGGTTGTATTCTCTGTGATGATGTTACCCATTTTGCTGGAGCATACAACGAACTATGAAGAAACGAAGTTTTATAAAACTTCGGACAGTCATATGTCTCTTATTTCGTTTGTTTCTATGATATTTTTCGAAGGCGATGGACAGCCTAAGACTTTTCTCAGACGCTGTCTATTCGTCGCGTTCACAGGTGCTGTGTTTTATCTAACCAATTTCCTCAACTATATGTTTTTCTGGATCACGTTTGCTATTTGGGGCGCTTTGTTCTGTTTCCTAAATGTTTTCGAAAAAGTACCTGGAAACAATGATTCCGGGGAAAAAAAACAACAACCTGATTTGGAGTTTGAAAAAAGCCTTGTCTCTTGTTTCACAATTCCGCTTTCACTTCCTGTTGATTATTATCGCCATCATCACGGATCATCTGGGACTAATGATTCCTCTAACAAATGTTGCGTTTACATTGTAACATTTCTTCTTTCAGGGACTCCTATAATCCTTGTTCCGTTTTTATTGGTCAAATTTATTTTATTGGATTACATATTACGCTTTGTTTTGCCCTTTACTTGTGAAGATTGTTCTCCGACAAAAATCATATTCAATTTTTTTGCGTTCTGCACTAGATTTTTAAGTTTATTGGCTTTCGTCGTCTTTACTGGATCAATTCTTCTTGTCGTTCTTTCTGTAACTGTTGGGTTAATTCTTAACGGAGAATTTTTTAATCCTTTCTTTTCCCCCCTTGTGACACTGATAGTCTTTTTTTGGAAAAATTGGCAATTCTCAGTCGAAGCGCCATGTTTGCAACTTAAAACGTTAATCATCGAAGTTTGCAAAGAAAAAGCTAAGGTTGATGAAAAGGACAGCAAAACCAATTCTAAGAACCAAAAACAATCTTACTGCAAACCCTTGATGGATTTTTTATGCTCCTGCCATGAGTATTTTCGTATTTCAGGGAGATGTTGTTCTTGTTTTTGTTCAGGTTAGTTCATTCAGTCTCTGAAACTGACATTTTCATTTTCGTTTGATTGCTTTATTTTCTGCGTGTGTTAATCATCAAAGACATGTATACTGCAAGACGTTTTGGTATTTTTTATTTGCGCAGAGAGAAAATAAAATAAATACGTTATACTAATAATCGCATGCAAGTACTGTATAGGAAACAATGTTGACAAACAGCCGGATGAAGCGTGGTAAAACTACCCGAGATGTAGCGAAAAAAATAATTCGAAAACGTCTTGTAGTACTGTATAAAGCTTTTGTTGATAAATAAATACAAGAGAGAATGTTCATGTACTACATACAATATAGGCGGCCTTCGTCTTGCACTTGTGTTATAATTGAAATGTGACTTTGTTTTTATGATATTGTTCACAGTATATGTTTATTTGTTTTTCCTATATGGTATCATCTGTTGTCGTGGTTGGTGTAAAATATTACTACGATGAATATTGTGTTGTCCTTCTCAGCAGTTCATAACATTCCGTTCGGAAGCGAACGGCCACTGCGATCGTATTTTTTCTCTTGCGGTCGTCTGCGGTTTCATCGGTCGACCACAATCGAATCGCAACCGCAGTGTTAGGTTATTTCTGCACAGTACTTTATGTCTTCTGTTGAAAAATGGGATTTTAATTAAAAAATTCAATTAAAAAATATCTTTCTTTTCCTGTTAGAAGACCAGCAAAATCGAGGTAATGTCGTAAACAACATGGCAGAGAAAACATTCACTATCGAATTTGATGAAAAGGATGGCGAGGCGAAGATCTCAAAGGAATTTTACAAGGAAGTCAGCAAACAAATTATGCCTTTGGGCGAGCTTCTGTTTCGTTTCTTCAGAAGAATTCTCTTCGTCGCCGTATACGCTGGGATTATGTTCATTGTCTTGATTCTTGGAAAGGAATCTGGTGTTGCAGGAAGTCGTCAAGCAATCGGCGCCATTGTCGCTATCCTGATTCCGTTTATTTTTGACACCATTTACGCTGATCATCATTTGGCACAAAAGGACTCGAAAAATATGGCAACGAAAGAAAAACTTCAACATATTATACCCAGAGTTTTCAGAGTTAAAGACCGAGGAAAAAACTTGCTTGTCATATTTAAATGTCCTAACAAAGATGACAGTGGTGGCCAAGGTGGTGGCCAAGGTAGTGGCCAAGGTGGTGGCCAAGGTGGTAACAGTGGTGGCCAAGTTGGTGGCCAAGGTGGTGGTCAAGGTGATGGCCAAGGTGGTGGCCAAGGTGGTGGCCAAGGTGGTGGTAACATTGGTGGCCAAGGTGGTAACATTGGTGGCCAAGGTGGTGGCCAAGGTGGTGGGCAAGGTGGTGACAATGGTAGCCAAGGTGGTAACAATAGTAGAAAAGGTGGTGACAGTGGTGGCCAAGGTGGTGGCCAAGGTGGTGGCCAAGGCCAAAGTGGCCGCCAAGGTGATGACAGTGGTGGCCAAAGTGGTGGCCAAGGTGGTGGCCAAGGTGGTGATAGTGGTGGCCAAGGTGGTGGCGAAGGTGGTGGCGAAGGTGGTGGCCAAGGTGGTGGCCAAGGTGTTGACAGTGATGGCCAAGGTGGTGGCCAAGGTGGTGATAGTGGTGGCCAAGGTGGTGGCGAAGGTGGTGGCGAAGGTGGTGGCGAAGGTGGTGGCGAAGGTGGTGGCGAAGGTGGTGGCCAAGGTGGTGGCCAAGATGGTGGCCAAGGTGGTGGCCAAGGTGGTGACAGTGATGGCCAAGGTGGTGGCCAAGGTGGTGGCCAAGGTAATGACAGTGGTGGCCAAGGTGATGACAGTGTTGGCCAAGGTGAGATGAGAGCTAGCATTCCAATCTGAGAACTAGCATTCCAGTCTTCAAAATTGTAGCAACCAATTTGGACTTTTTAAAGCTTTTATTTAAAAATATTTATGCAAATCATTTCTTAGAATCAGTCATTATATACCAGGAATTGAATGACGTGTCAGACCTTTCATGCCTATCCGACCAATCGGTGCAAATATAACAATACATTACCAACTGTAATCTACCTTTAACATTAAAAACGATAAAAGTCGAGACATGCAATGATGGAAGTACAATCTGGCAAAACAACTAATATGCTGCCTCGTCAAGTAAATTGTTTATCAAAAACTATTGTCAAAAGGTGATTGGCGATTAGGACCTTCTGAAGTGAAAATAGCTGGCTGGTTTGCAAAAGCACGAGTTCAACAATGAAGTGATTATGCGCACCAATGATTAAGTATGTTAAGCCGACTGTAGCTTGTGAGGTACGCATATTAATACCATCTGACACCAACACGATGATTTCGTCCCTTTTGAGCTATCAATTTATCATATTTTGTCAGGTATTCGTTGATACAAATTGACTGCATGGCTTTAGTTGAGTTTAAATCGAATTCATCTGTTAAATGTACTCTGATAAAAACAATATTATATATTATAATATATTTATATATAGCAATACTGTAGGCAAATTGACTCACGAATTTATTATTTCTTAGCACATAGAAATTACGTAAGCTTTATTATGAATGTTATTAAAAAGGGAAACGTTTTGTGCAATTATTAAATCATATGACACTATGACAAAAGCGTGATATAAACTATATGCTCTGCATGGGTTCAATCGAAAGTATATTCAAAGTCTGAAAGTCATACAACTATACATGCATGCCTGGTCGTGCATTTGTTTACGTAGCTCATGCTGACAATACCAAAATGCATTTCAACAGTAAAAAATGCCGGTGATTCCGATGAAGAATATGCTTTGAAAAAGGAAAGACTCCCTGCAGCGAGTGCATTAGAATTACAAAGAAAGTTTGATGTTATCGAAATGAAGCTTCATATTATATGGAAATAACGTCGCATTGAACTCAACTTATAGTTGAACTTCTCTCGAATGTTTAGTCTGTAATAGACCTATAAAGATTTCAACTACAGCTTATTCGAAAATAGGCTTCACTGTACCTTTGGAAACAGAAAATAATTACCTCGCCCTGCAAAGGTAAGAATTGATATCATTTTTCAACGGCATCCTCGGCTATCTTCACTTACTAGTTTAAGCAGTGCTTCAATATTGCACCTCTGTGCGTGCCTTTTTAACACTGCGCTTTGTAAAACACTCAAAGCAAATGTAATTGAGCCTGATGTAACATAACTTTGTAAGCATTTTTTAAATTGAAATATATTTCATGCTAGAAAAAATCGTAGATATGCAACCAGGATTAAACATAATTGAAATATAGAACGTTCTCTGGTTGAAATTTATAAAATTTATTACAAGCTTTCGGCTATCAGTCTATAGCCTTCAACGGGTAGAAAATATAAATTCAAAGAAGGACGCTAACAGTGAAACATGAAACTACATGTGAGTCGAACTACAGTATGAAAGGTTATATGATATATACAAGGAATAGCATGAAATATGTAAATTTTAGTGTTTTTTAGTGAGCATAGTATATTGTCCTGGAAGTGGCTTAGAATTATTGTCAGCTTGATCGGATAAAGATGTATGCCATGACTCTAAAGTTTTCCGACTGCGGAACTCTCCTTTGTCAATCACCTTCGCTTTCTCAAAATCAATTACGTGATCTAATTGACCATGCATGTTTAGCAACGTTTGAACCTTTCTTATCATGCTTTACATTTCTGATATGTTCAGCTTTTTTCTTTTTTAAACATCTACTAGTCTCTCTAATATAGATCCAAGGGCAATCTTTGCAGGGAATTCTGTAGACGACATTCTTCTGTTCTTCGAGAGGCGGTCTATGCTTAACAGAGGGGAATTGGCGTTCCCCTCTGTTAAGCATTAGTCTACGTATAGACGGAATATGGCGGAAATACCGTCTATGTAACAGCGCCAAATTCCGTGTTCTATAATTATTTATCCCCAGAATCTGGGGGACGCTGTGTGATTGGCTACATATTTAATTACGAAGCCTGATTGGTTACTCACGATCAACAAAGCTTTCATTGGTTTAGAGTGGAATAATGAAAATATTTTTCGTGGGAGTCAACAACAAATGGCAAGCTGTTAAGCTCAAACACAAAGTCTTCTTTGCTCCGTCTTCGAACTAAGTATTTGTCCTTCGCTCTCCCGATAATCTCTTTACAAAGGATACACTCGTGAGTACTCGACATTGGCATTTACATTGTTAAGTGGCAAATTGTTAATGAAGATCAAAAAGACGATAAGTTTTTTGTTGCAGACTCGAAGGAAGATCGACGAACATGTGAATTGTGAAATTTGATCATAAATGTTTCGTGCATAAAATGCGAAGATTAATTACTAATTTCAATTTACGTCACATTTTGCATAAATTACAGTACACGAAATTTGGCTCTTCTGATACGCAGACCCTCTTTTTCCCCGCCTTTCTATTTCGGGCATGGGTCTGCGGCGCAGGCTAGTTAAGCATAGACCGCCTCTCGAAAAACAGATGAAAGTCGTCTACAGAATTCCCTGCAAAGATTGCCCTTGGATCTATATTGGAGAGACAGGTTGATGTTTAAAAAAGAGAAAAGCTGAACATATCAGAAATGTAAAGCATGATAAGAAAGGTTCAAACGTTGCGTGGTCATTAGATCACGTAATTGATTTTGAGAAAGCGAAGGTGATTGACAAAGGAGAGTTCCGCAGTCGGAAAACTTTAGAGTCATGGCATACAGCTTTATCCGATCAAGCTGACAACAATTCTAAGCCACTTCCAGGACAATATACTATGCTCACTAAAAAACACTAAAATTTTCATATTTCATGCTATTCCTTGTATATATCATATAACCTTTCATACTGTAGTTAGACTCACATGTAGTTTCATGTTTCACTGTTAGCGTCCTTCTTTGAATTTATATTTTTTACCCGTTGGCGTTGAAGGCTATAGACTGATAGCCGAAAGCTTGTAATAAATTTTAATATTTCAACCAGAGAACGTTCTATATTTCAATTATATTTCATGCTGTTTATGTAATTTATATCTAGGAACAAACAAACATATTTCAGTGGCACGGTGATAGTAGCCAGTGGTTTTCTAGTATTCCAGTAGTACTACTTCAGCTTATTTTGTCATATCAGTTTGTGATTTTTTTATCGTGACGTTGGTGTACGTTACAATTATCGCATACGCGTCCTGGTTTACCCAAATACAACTCAATGACTCTTTGTACAAATTTATTAGCTGTTGTTGTCTTGTCACCCAGAACGGTATCTAAAATTAATTACAAGCTTATCATTATTTATATTAATTTTACGCATAAGTTCATAAAAATGTCAATTGCCAACTTACTTGACTAATTGTGACTAGCAGGATTTACTTATATCCAACTTATTGACAGAGATCCTTCTTACTGTATATTAAATCTAGTCCCGTCCGATATGCTTACATACATTTATATACACCGACTATTTACATAATCACACACACAATTAATCAGGCAGAACGAAGTGCTTCTGCACTTACAGTTGGTATACTGAGATTTTTAAGGAATTTTCAATTTGACCCTCAGAAAAGGGACACCTTCCTCTCTTTTGTAATTCATTACGTTTTTCTTTCCATTTCCAAATATGTAATTACTTAGAATGTAACGAGTACACAGTAACGCGTAACGAGTCAAAATTGGATTCCAATTTCTTTATTAAAACAATGAGCAACATGTAACACATGACAACATTATACTATCTCATCACTCTAACTAAATATATTACTGCTTAAATGTTTTATTTGTAGATTTTCTTTTGCAGAACTCCTATGTCGAGATGCCATCAACTATGAAAGGGTCGATGTTCAAACCAATTCTAATATTTTGCTTGACAGAAATCATCACCGCCTCAGTAGGCACAAAGTTTTCCAAAAACCTAGAAATAAGAAATATCGGATTGGGAGATTCTTCAAATTCGAGCAACACTTCGAATACCTGTCATTTCGACTCATCGCTGAAGGATGTCGTAAGATTGATGCGTGATAGCAAAACGAATGTGATTAAGCTGCATGTTTGGACTGAGCTGGCAGACAATGATACCACAAATAAGAATCGGAGTCTATTGGCAGATTTTCAATGGGCAAACCAAATCGGTCGTACATTATACTCGCTAATACATCAACCAGTTGCTTCTCAATCACTAATGCTTCAAACAGTTGCCCCTCAATCATTGATTTTATCATTATTGCCAGTTACGTTGTCTGCGGGTCTTAGAAATGTCGACGTTCTGATCTACGCGGAAAACGAAAGATGTATGCTGTTGGTCAAAAACGATACATCAGGAAATCCAGTCTTTCTTCTCCTCCTGCAACAGCTGTATCTTTTTAATGACGACGGCCAGGACTATCAGCTATGCCAGTCTAACGAACTGCGATTACAATGTTGCACAATGGAAATAATAAAATCAGGAAAAGCTGGAACTAAGCACGTTCCAGTATGCTCACACTACTCGTCAGTCGTAACTGATGATTTTCCGATAATTTTGCTTACAATAACGTCAATATTAATTTTTATTGCTTTCCCATTGATTCTGGACTATTCCAATCGATTTAAGAATGACGGTGAATATTATATAATAACAGATAGTCCCATGGCGTTATCATTCTTACTGCACATGTTATTCATCGAGGGGCGTGGCCCAATAAAGTCCTTTGTACGGAGATTATTGATCGTATCATTTGTTGTAGCGACTATTTTACCTGTGCGAGATCTGGTTATGTCTTGGTTCACTATCTTTCTTTATGTCCTGATATGTCCATGGGCACTAATATTTCTATTTTCCGACGAACACGACTTTAACGAAGGTCAAGGTGATTCATGTGTACAGTCCCTTTATTATAATTGTAAAAACCTAATTCAACTAATCTCTCTGCCATTTAACTTAAACTTTTGGTGGGACAAGCTTCAGGCAAAGAAACTTCAAGAAACTTTCAAGTCCTATTGTCGTTGCTGTAGTCAACAGAATACAACAGAACGCCAACGAATTGTTCCAATCAATAATCCATTGATATCCGAAGACTATGGATCTATTCCATCAGTTTCTCAACGATCAGAAAGCAACAATGAAATATGGCAGTTCATCAAAGTGTCGTTGGTTCGTATATACTTTATTACTGTTGTAATCATATATTTAGTAATTGTTCTCCCGCTATCGTGTATTTTTGTTTTTGTTCAAATATTTTTTGTATCTTATGTCGGCAATCCATTTAAAAAATTTAGAGAGTGTATAGCTAGTTGCCGCAGCACACCACAAAAATTAGTTAAATGCCTTCTATTGCCTTGGAATTCGAATATTGTCATTATATTCTTTATCATTTATGGTTCCATCTATTTCTTGTACTTCCTTCTTCCTTTTGCGACTGGTCTATTGCTTAACGGAGAAACGTACGGTCCGTATCTTGCTCCACTTACCACCATTTTATTATACTCGTGGGTTAATTGGAAGCTTTCGGTCGAAGCGAAATACTTGTTACTAAATACGGCAATTTACCAGATTTGCAATGAAAACAACAACAAAAACAACAACAACAACAACAACAACAACAACAACAACAACAACAACAACAACAACAACAACAACAACAAACACAACAACAACAACAACAACAACAACACAACAACAACAACAACAACAACAACAACAACAACAACAACAACAACAACAACAACAACAACAACAACAACAACAACAACAACAACAACAGCAACAACAACAACAACAACAACAACAACAACAACAACAATAACGACGACAACAACAACAACAACAATAACGACGACAACAACACACCTAATTCGTTTGTTATCAAGTTTGACGATAAAGGCGAGCCCATGATCCCACGGAAGTTGTACAATCTGGCCAGGGAAAAATTTTTGCCTTACGATCAAATTTTGTTTCATTATTTCAAAGGAATATTAATTATTATAGCGTTCGCGTACTTTTTATACATTCTGATGTCATTCTCGCAAAAATCAGGGGTCTCTAGTAGCGTTCAAGTAATCGGGTCAATCGTTGCCGCTAGCTTACCGATTATTTTCAACCTCGTTTGGAAGCAGCAGAGCGATGAACAAAAGTGGGCCGATGAAATTGCCATGAAGTCGAAAGTTAGGCGCGTTTTGGTTGTTTGCCATCGTTCAAATGATCATGAAGAAATTAAAGTGAAATTTAAGCCCGAAAATCAGGGGATTGGGGGGGCAAATTCACTCAATGATTCAGTCTGATTGGAATGTCCCATATTAAGGGTCAGCCCCTAGCCATCGTCTATCCTTACATTCCCAACTACTGCTTTTATGTCCTATATAAGGAATAGCCAAATTTACTATACTGTTCTTATAACCAAGTAAATGGTAGAGGGTAGAAAACTATCATTAACTAAGATATTTACTTTACTTACATATATAATTTATCCGCTTAGCCCATTTTCTAGATCTGTATATTCTAGAAATATGCTATACAGTGGTTGTATGTATATCGAACATACTAATTGAGTATTAATAATCTTCAAAGCTTAAAGAGATCTGATTGCTTGTTTGTACATTATGATTATTTTCTTTTGTATTAAAACCCAGGGGTTTGTACCAAAATGTGAGGCATAGCTAATAAAATATTTCATTTTTGACAAAGGATTGTAGCCTTAACCTGCTTGAAGTTAAGAAAAAACTATGCAAGACTATAATTGAAACGCAAGGTGTGTTAACCAGTCACTGTATCTCAGCAATATGGCTCTATAGAAGCATCTTGAAATGTTTCTTTGAGTGTTTCAACCTCATTTCGACCATTTGATAAAAATTTCATTCGAAAGTTCGCTATGCCTCGCATGGTGTGTAGAATACTCCTACTCCATTCTTAAAGTTTTGGGATGGTTTTTATTACTTTCATTTTTTAATTACAAGTATAACATCAGATTAAAGATAATTATACATTGAACAAGAAATAAAACTGGTTGATTTGCTAAAGTAAATTTCGCATGTTTTAGCTTTAATATTATGATAATTAAGTATATGTATATCAGAAATGTAACGTATTATTGGGTATTTAATTATATGTATTCCCTGGGGTTTGCTGTGTCTTTTCTAATTCCCAAACCACGTGATTTAGCCATAATCTAAGATTTTCTAATAACTTCGGCGCACCCGCAAGTCCTCAATATAAAGCTTCTGAACATAAGTAATACAGTTCATATTCGCATTTAGATGCCTTGCGAACCTAAATGTTTGATCGCAAAATTCAGAAGCACATCGTATTAAAAAAGTATAGAAGTTCAATTGTTCAAAAATGTAAATAAACCGCATGATATATTCGCTTTGTCTTACACTTTGCCTTTGGAATTCGCGCTTATATAGTTATATTAAATCTTCAATCCTGTGCAAACTGTGACGTGTCAACGCGCCCATACACGGCCACATCTTGTTAAACGGCGAAATAGCAGCGATATTATTAAAATAGGACTAAAATCTACACGTATTAAATATATTCTTACCCCAATTCAATCTAAACTTAATCGAACAGCATCAAAAGAACGGTTTATTTGTTCCTCTTGGAGGAATTGCCGTATCATGCGAGCGAAATCGAATCGCGCAGATTAGCCAAAGCTGTGCACCACAACTTTTGGGAGACAAGACTGGGACGTAGATAAATACGGTCACATACACATTTCAAATACTAGTATATTTCCCGCGCCATTACACACTTGCGACGACGAAAAATAATAAAAAAAAAACCAAAAACAAAACAAAACCGCCGGAGTAGTCAAGGCTTATCGCTTGTATACGATTTTCAGCGTGATTTGTCTTTTTCGGTTCGGTTCCCTCGCTTTGTCAGCCACTTATATTAGTGTCGACCAATATTCGGATATAAATGAAAAAATGGGAATAAATGTAACACAGTTGGTGTTAGAAGGACTTTAACTTATGATTGTGACTTGGATGGCCATCATTCAAACGAAGCGAAAACGGAACTATATGTATGATGAAATGGAAAATGCCCTAATGGTCCAAAAATTGGATTGAAAAGACCACCATAATTTAACATCTACTATGGCTCACAAAATGCTTCGAAAACAATTTTCTATTTTCCTTGCAGTTTTATGCCTTTCGGTGATAGTAATTTGTCCAAGAATTAAATTGCAAATAGGTTTTGTAGGCATCGTTAAAACGGGACAGGAAAAATTTGAGGTTGTATACTTGAATTCGTCCTGTCCCGTGTGAAAGTAGCCTTAAAGCAGAGACTTAAAGATAACCTCCACTCATGCAGATGATATCTATAGTACGTTTACTCAATTATTATTCGCCGTTTTTGATAGGATATTGTTATGCCCCCCTCCTTTCACGTCAAAAATTAAATTTTGGCTTGGTGGCGTTGTTTCCCACAATATACGTAAGCCGTTTGATCCACGTAACTATTTACTGTTGCTCTTAAATTACCTTATCATCACCACGTCTTGTCAGCAATCTGTGACTCGGTGTAGACATATTAGTTTTAAATATTTACGAAAAGAAGAACTAATCTCAGAGTTTTCTATTCAAAATATTTCGATTTAGGTCCTCAGCTTATTTAATTTTTTTATCAACACAAATAGGAAGTGGTAATCAAGTTTGGCCCCAAAACGGTGTTTTTTACGTAACGAATCAATCATTCAACAAAATGTATTTGTATTTATTTGTGTAGTATATTTGTATTATATATCCTGTAAACGAACGGCCTCTTGAAAATCAGGTGCGTAAGTGACCTGAGGAGCCACCGTTGTAAAATAATATCATTAACATGAGAAATGTATTTATCATATCATATTAAACCATCGGTTTCCACAAAGGCAATGTGGGAGGTTGACATGTACAATGAAAAATATTTCCTGATTACTACGTCCCGGGAAGCGGAGCTATTGGAAACGATGTAAGTTTTTTCATTACTAAGGTTTAATAAGATTGAATTTAATTTAGAGTTGAGTCTTATTGGTCTAGATCAACAGTAGCGTGGTCTCCATAGAAACTAATTACAGTTAAATTTTGGAGATTTTGAAGAGAGGATTTTTTGTATTCATATAGTCACTGAATGAATTATACTATACTATGCAACAGCTCCAGCGCTCATGTCACAGCTGACTTTAATACGGGTTGATTTAAACTCCGATAATATTTATGGTCTCATCACTTATAATTTGCCGTCGGAGGGATTTTGGTATGCATCGTCTCAGTATAATCCCGGCCGTAATTTTATAAACGAACCGCAATTAGTTCTCTCTGAGGGAGGAACGATTTTTTATCAGACTGTTTTAGAAATTAAATATTTTCAATTTATAATTCCGCAGTTGAGACCAGCAGGTATAGTGTGCCTGACGCTTATAAAGTTAGCTTGCTTGTTGCGTTTCAATCAGTCTAGCGATCTACAACTTCTAAATCACATCCACTGAACGAATCACAGGTAAGAAGTTTAGATATTGAACATGAATGAAGTGAGAAACTATTTTCCTAAATTTTTTTTTTAAATTTATAACAGTACATTAAAATCTCCGACATATAGTGGTCACAGAAATTTTACGATGTTTTATTTTATTTTGCGTTTAAACTACGTACACTTCATATGTAAATGAATATCTACCCACAGTAGCGAAAAAGAACAAAATCTTATAAGTCGAACAGTTGTGGACGATTGTCGTGAAAATTTATGAGAATCGAAGAAGCAACGATAAAGACGTACCCTTATATATGAGGATTACTACACCTCTAGTTCTATTTGTAGATTTTGAACTAAAAATTTTTGAAAATGTTTAGCGTCATTTGCTGTTTCGTCGTGCATTGACATTGGTTTGCATATAATGAATACGTTTTTCAAGTACTGAAAGCATTATGTTTATATATACTATCTATTAGTAGTCGATATTGCAAATTTTAATTCTGGGAAAGTCACTAGGGTTCATTATATGCTTACGTTGATCTTTTTAGGTTGCCGGTGATATAAAACTCACTCTTCGACTCAATTTATTCAAAGATGTGTCGAAAATTTTATTTGTGAGCAAGTTGAAAACACACAAAAATCTAGTATCTTAGATCCGTGGGTCACAACATTAATATAAATAAGGGTTTACACTGGGTTACTAGGTTACCAAACGCGAGGGGTTCGAAAATCGAAATAAATCTCTTTGTCATATGGGACAAATGTAATTATTAAGGCGATCAGAGGGGAGTTGCAATGTCATTAAACCCACTGGTTTTGATTAAATAATTTAAAAACTTAATTCAATTATACGTAGTTGCGTCCTATTGGCTACAATAGCGTGATTTCCATAGTTTCGCGTTAAGTTAAAAGTCATAGTGGGAATCTTTTGATGTCTTCAATTTTTGCACCCTATTAGTATTCACGACGCCCAAGTAAGAAGTATACATGCATATTCAACTTTCAGTAAATAAAAAAATGTGTAGTTTTTACATATAAACTGTCACTAATATTTTTTGTCCTCATAGCTGATGGAGAGTTCAGGAAGCAGTTTATTCATAGCATCAAAATTCATCTATATCGGCCCTACGACAGGAATTCAACCTATGTCCTGTGTCGTGCCGTGGCACTGCCTTGGCCTCTGAGCTACGGAGAGCTGCCAAGATCGAGTGAACGTATAAGAATCATCTATATAGACGGGAGTGTAATGGAAGTGTATTAGATAAAGGTAAATTAGATATAATTTCGCGAATTTGCTCGAAGTGATAAATATATTCCATGATGACTTTATTATTCGAATAGTCATACAAATTGAGTTAAAATGGAATTCGAAGTTCTATATCTTCGATTGCGAATTGCTCAGCCTCAGCTAACCACAAAACAAAGAGTGTTTAGCAACTATATATCAACGATTTTGCCAACGACTTCCTGGCTTTGCGTTTCAGATATTGTATCGCTCACCACTGCCTTCAGTTTTCCGTCTTCAACTCGAATTCCATTCACGCCCAGATGGGTTGTATATAAACTTAAATTAAGTATATATACGTAAAGAAGCTGCAAATTAAGGACTAAAATTATATTCCTGCAGCGCTAGGTAGCTATATAAACGGTGAAGTAATGCCAAGTGGATATAAAGATAAATTGTAGATATACTTTTTAGCATTTCGCTCGATAGGATAAATGTCATGATGAAGATTCATAGTTCATAGCTGTTAGAGAATATTGTTCGATTCTCTAATCTCTTATCTCTATCTATCATACAATTTTGACTCTTCCCTTTCCGTAACATAGTGGCCAAAGCAAGGAGTCTTCTTCGTATACGTGCGATTTCTGTATATCAGTTGCTATCCATATATGCCGATATTTTTATAACTGCTCCCGGTTCAATCTCAAGCCGGTTTTCCACTAGCTATATTTTTCGCGCGATGCGAATTTATTTCTTTTGATTTCAGTTGTATTTTAACAAATTTGTTAAAACCAGATGCTTGCAGGTGCGCACCTGCGTAGTGAAAAACGTAGTGAAAAACTAGCCTAATATTTCCGCTCAATTCTCAATGAGCGTCATGAAACTTATGTTATTTATCTCCATTAAGCGAAGTGTAAAATTACATATGATTTTTTTGCCCATGCATATGATATTTTGTGTGTACAATAAATGATACTACTATGCAGGTGATCCTATTCGGCAAAGAAAATTCGAAGAAATTTGCATTATGCAAATTCATGGCAAGCTGCATATTATTCATTATTCACGATTTCTGGCTATGAACACTATATTTGTTATAAATGTATGGAAAAATTATCCTCTAGCATCCTAGCTGCTTTGCTGGCAGTTTTTCAATGTTTTTCAAGGGATTCGACATTGATATATTTATGATGTCGATAAACCAGCTTGAAATTTTTGCACTAATATATGTTCACTTTAGGTCTTCGGGTATATAATATAGTCACCTAAAATTAGCGTTTTCATGCTTTCCTCCTTTTAAGTTTTAAGTTGTCCAAACCATAATCCCAATGGATAACGCGTGATTGTACCAACGGCAACAGTAGTCTGAAATGAATACAGCATGGAACAAAACGAAATCGTCTTCGAAACGAAATAATTATGGCGTTGTTCAATAAATACGAGATATAGCTACGCAACGGAAAAAAATATGCCTAGAATAGACGAATGCATGGACAATACATTTATATTAATACATTCTTTCCTAGCTGTAACGGTATAAATACAATTGCTTTTGTGCTGTCAATAAACCCTAAGTTTAAATCTAGAACACATTCTATGCATGAGTTACAACAACTACATGACTATGCCGCCTGTGACAGCCTTTCACGACAGGTATAGCATACGAAAGACTCACTTAAGTATATATACACCTGTTCACGAAATGAATTGACTTTAGCTGCTCATAAATAGATTTCTTTTCTTTTCCTTGAAAATCCCAATAAATTTTAACATTGCTGAAAATCATAGCTTATATACGTACCTTGAATCTAAATTACGAAAATAATTTCTAAATGTTTTATCCAAGAACGATCCTGGGGCAGGTTGTTCGAAAGGCGTTTAGCTTAACCGGTGGATAAGCCAAAGTTTAAAAATACTCTCATATAGGTCTTGTAAATGACTGAACCTGCATCTTATATGTATTTAATATGTACTTTCATTGACAATTAAACTATTTACATCGAAATATTTCAGCTCAGTTTTTCAATAAATAGATAATTTGATTTTCTATTTTTAACTTATCCACCGTTTAAGCTAAACGCCTTTCAAACCACCGGCCCCAGGTTAAATAACATTAATTATACCAACATTAATTATCCAATATTACTACAAAAGCAAAGAACTTCAGAAGCGTGTTAGTTAAACTTTGTTATAAAATTCGATGCATAATTTAACATATCTTGGAAGCATGAGTCATTGTTTGTGTTACGTGGTGAATCTTAAAGGCTGATTACATGGAGTGTTTTCAGCCCGGGCTGAGTTTCATGCCATGTAATTCAAAAATACCGCTTTGGCCCCGGTGAAACTCAGACCGGGCTGAAAAGAAACCATATAATCAGCCCCTAAAGGACCCGTAAGTTTGATATATAAACATATTATAGATAGAAAATCAAACATGTTTAAGAGAAAATATACGTACTGAGATTTTTACGACGCACACCCTGTGTTGCATCTTCTGTGTTCTTGCGTGGGTTAAACGTAGTATTCATGATGTTAATGTTAAGACGGAAATATGGCTACACAAAGTTGAAAATAGTTGACATAGGCCTGTTTAGCGTCACGTTTGCGTTTCGTTATAACTGTGAATCTGTATAGGGGGGGAAAGTTTGTGAGGTGCCACCATGCATGATTGGTGGTACAAAGCGAAAAAAAAATGTGAAATTGGATTGTGGCAAACCGGTGCTTTACGTAACCATTCAGTAAGCTGTTAGCAGTCATAGTTCGAGTATATCTTCCTCTATGTACGCCCTTAACACTAAGTAAGTCCGGGTACTGTGCACGTTACGAATTGTGTGTTGAAAATAGGAAATTGCCGTAAAACTTTAATGCCGGATAAATTAATTTAATTTAATTTAATTTAATTTTAATTTTTTATAATTTATTAACTTCGCCACGGACATATAATAACTAAGTCATTACAACAGTCATATATTACCTAACGTTACTAGACAAAAACAAGAAAAAGAAAAATGTGGCAGGGAAATCGCAACAGCTAATACGCCAATTACTGCGGTCCCGTAATAAACGAAAGTAAAACTAAAAAAAACGCAAAAAGGAACCCAAAAATAAAAAGCCTGGTTGAAAATCACAATATGATAAGCCTAGTCCATATTAACGCGTGTAACAATAAATATAGAGTTGTATAATGTTGCTTTTGCGTGGACAAACAAAGCGTTTGCGGTTTGTATTAAAACCGAACCTGTCCTTCTTCAGCCAATGAGGCCCAAACCTTGTGCCTGTTTTGCACGCTTTTGTAGCTTACACTACCATTATTGAATCTACAACAACATGCACAATTAAGTGTAAATGCCCTATTTTTGTACATCTTTAAAAACTATATGGTTAAATACACTTTATATCACTATTACATTAATACATTAGCAGGAAATATTTTTCTATGTCGCGTGATATATACTCAAAACCTCAGTTATATCTTCATGCAACAGCACTAAAAATTTTCAGCATTAAAAATGTTTTGCAAACATAAAAAGCATCCACAAAGTATGTTTACTGTATAATCTCAAAATATTGCGAAAATAAGCTGTGTGAGACAAGCTTAAGAGTTGTTTGCATATTTAAACGCGGTTGTATATCGATCAATTCCTTTCACTTTCGATTCTGTGTCGTTAAGCCATCTGCTCAGGAAATACGTTGATAAAACATTGGAACTTGAACTATTATTCCCGTTAGATATTGATTAATCAACAGTAATTAGTAATATAATTATTTAATGTGAAATCATTTCTTCTTTAAAATTCACCAAACATCATACCACGGTATGATCACGGCACAAATACCACGGTACGATCTTCAATGGAACAATAAAATGCATGCAGCAATGATTGTTTTTGTGATGGTTTCATCTGACGAGAGAACGAGTAGCAATTTGCTATCGACATGCACAACATATAAAATAAAACCTTACATGCCGTTATTTCCTTGGAATATCAAAGTACAAATCGATAGTTCAACCTGATTCAAAACTCGAAATCTTCATTTCACCGTAAAAAATGATAACTTGCATACTTCATTCCGAGTTGCACTCCTGTAGAGATATCTGTAAAAGACCGACAAATTTTGTGCCGCTAACCAGTGTTAGCCATGCAGTAGCCACAAACAGGCTAAGAGTGTATTGGACGTTTGTTCCTGAAAATTAACAGAAATTAAACACCAGTGGCAGTGGAATCGTGGTACCATTCGATTGAATCAATCTTGAGTGAAACATCGTTGATATTAAGGTAGAACATGCTAACTCAGTTTTGAATTTACGTAGATTTGTCAATTCATAATGATTTGTCACTTGGTTCAAAAATATCAGTACTGGTTCAGTAGGCCATCAGTCGTAGCTATAAACGTATATCATTATATACTCTATAGTACAATCGGTATAAAAATGTGAACGGAAAAGTTTAGAAACAAACAAAATTATCACTCGCCCCATGCATTTCAGCCTTTATAAAGTTATAGTACCGATATATTTGTTTTCAAAGTTAGGCACTATTTAAGAAATAGAAAACATTCGTGATGGTGAACGTTTGGGAAAAATTCGCTCGCGCGACCGTATAAAATTGAATTAATTAATTCATTCTTCGGTGTATTTGCGGTGTATCGATTATTTTCTCAAATTAATATATCTAGGTACAGGGTGTATACTAAAACAATTAGACAACTCGCCTTCGTTGCCTATTAGCAAATAGTCGAGAATAAATAGAAACACGCGTGGGAGTTTGGGAGAACGAGAAATAATCCCACTGATTATATCTCGTCTCCCAAACTCCCACAAGTGTTTCTACATAACTGTATAGAAACACAGAAAAAAATGTCGTTGACTATTCGCTCATAGACAACTCGGACTCGTTGTCTAATTGTTAAATAGAAACATGCTTCTCGACCAATCAGCACGCACGTACTATAAATGTTATATTATAATTATAATTATGATTAGAATATGAAAATAACGATTGGAAATTACAGCAATATACATGTTGTAACAAGTCGATATATACTATAATTACTTACTTGTTCAAAAAAGTGCATTCGCTCGGATTTTAAACCAAGAGTGTGTATAGCTAACTATATAGTCTGGAAAAAATTGTACGTAGCAACGGAATTGTATTCTAAACCGACGTTCAATCTCAATTTATATTTTGTTTTGTATGATTGAAGAACTTGTCGTTCACTGAATTCGGCACAATTATATTAATTGTCAAATGAATGCTCTTAAAAAGGGGAAGCCATATGTGCCAATTATAGTAATCGCGTGCTGATTGGTCGAGAAGCGTGTTTCTATAACTATGTAGAAACGCAACTTTTTCCCCCGAACTTGACCAGTAGTTTAGTGAGATTAGAATTAACACCACTACAGTGTGTATAAAAAATTATATTCCAAATTTCGCTTGTTTTACGCAGAATATATGTGACAAGGTTGGTTGATTTTGACATTGGTTGATTTTTACACAATTGTTAAGTTAATTTATTTGTCTTTCAAATGACATCCACGCACGCGTCATTCTGTTAAAAAATGAAAGTTTGTGAAACAAGGCTTTGAAATGCTAATTATCACTGAAAACAGAAATGCAAATTTATTGCAAACTTCTCCTTGTGCAAAACAAACGCCTTGTTCATTGAATTAAGTTTTGCATTATCTTGTGTCCTTAGGTGCCACTTCGAATTCCCATAACAGGGTATTGCTGGGGCTCGGAACCGCGCGCCTGCTAGGAGAGTCTGGAAAAATTTTGAAATATACATAGGCCTCTGAAATAGCCGCAAATGCATCTCAATTTAAGGATTATTGGGAAATAGAAGATACTTTGTAAAGTTTCCAGCATGTTTGGCGCTCATATACAAAAACATTAAACAATATAACCATGCTTTGGTTATGATGTCAAATATTTTGATATGGATAACCACGCTGTTTTAATGGTCTAATACTTGTCCTATGTAAAGTTGCAAACATGTTTCGTGCTCATATACAAACATTAAACAATATAACCATGCTTTGGTTATGAAATCAAATATTTTGACGTGGATAACCACGCTGTTTTAATGGTCAAATGCTTGTCCTAGCTATATGTAAAGTGGCAAGTATTTTTCGTGCCCATATACAGATATTAAAATATATAACCATGCTTTGGCTATGAAATCGAATATTTTGACGTAGATAACCATGCTAGTTAAATGGTCAAATACTTGTCCTATGTAAATTTGCAAGTATTTTTCGTGCCCATGCATATACGAATATTAAACAATGTAACCATGCTTTGGCAATGAATGTCAAATATTTTGACATGGATAACCACGTTTTTTTAATGGTCAAATGCTTGTCCTATGTAAAGTTGCAAGCATGTTTCGTGCTCATATACAAACATTGAACAATACAAACAACCAAAGAGGCTCCTCTTTCAAGTTTGACAATGGCGCAGTAGTTGTTGGCTTCTCTCAATGTTAAGCGGAAGGATTAAATTATGAGAGACCAAGAAACGGTACATTCGACATGGCTGAATATATAGGAAAATGGTATACTCGACCATGGTCAAATATGGCCGGAAAACGGTATACTCGAACATGGATAATCACGCTGTTTTAATGGTCAAATGCTGGTCCTAGCTATGTAAAGTTTCAAGCATGTTTGGTGCTCATATACAAACAACTATATAAAGTTGCAAGTTGCAAGCATCGACCATGGTCGAATATACGGAAAAACGGTACATTCGACCATGTCGAATATACCGGAAAATTTGGTTATGATGTCAAATATTTTGACATGGATAACCACGCTGTTTTAATGGTCAAATGTTTGTCCCTTTTGTCTCTGTTTTTTTATTTTGGCTAAACATATGTACTGAACATAACTAATTTCAATCCATTTGTAAACATGGCGAATTTATTACGACAGATATCGTTGGAAATTAGAGACTCGAGATTAAAGACTAATTACGGAAAAATTATTGGTGGGGCTAAAGCCCAGCGAGCCACCCTGCTCCGCGGTTTCTGGTCATAAGCAGAAACCGATTTGATTTTGATTTCAAGTAACCATTTTTAGCAGACGATAACTTGGTTATTTCTGGTCATATTGATACACGAAAGATATAATCGAAAACTTAATAGGCTAGTCTTTCTTGCCATACAAAAATTATATCATTAAGTGTAGTTTTTTTTTATATAGCAGTCTGTCAAAGTTTAATTCGAATTCTTTTTATACACCCTGTACAACATATTTTTGCCTATAAGTAAAATTGCATAGAAAATGAAAATATTTTAGTGTAGTTTTTTGTACTTTAATTAACTCAGATTATAATTAAACAGTTGCCATTCTCACCCCCAAGGTTTTAATGACTGGAGGTTGATTAAAAATATACAATATTAGTATATTTTCAGTATTGAAAAATGGCCTTTGAGCATTCTGATTGGCTCCCTCAGCAGTAACTCTGAGGCAATAGTTACTGCTCAGAGCAGTTTGAGCAGTAACTATTGCTTTTCCCCAAAAAAACATGGCTGAAAATACTCAAAATCAAAATTGTATTTATAAAATAAACACGTGTATCAGTTGTATTTATAAATGAAACTTTTTCAATACTGAAATTATACTAAAACAATTCGTCGCCTCAGGCTCGGTGATTACAAGTCTGCCGAGATTTAACAAAGCATGAGATGACCAGTTTGTGGTATTGAAATCAGTATGGCATAAACGTAGCAGTCATTACGACTATAGCATGTTCTTATTTGATTTCAATAAAAACTTATTTTAATACCACATGTAAAAGACCTTAAATAGAGGACAAAAAATTATTATAAATACAACATTGTACCTGAAGTAAATGAATTTTTGTTTTTTAGTTCGAAATGGCCGGAGAATGTTCATCGTCATGGCCTAAATTAACTTTGGAACCACCTAGGAAAAGAGTGGAAAGTCATCGTGATAAAGAGCCGTATAATAGCTCTAAAGCAGCTCTACTACAATCACTGAGTGAAGCAGAAGACACACTTAAACAACTTGGACATGACGCACTTCGAAAACGAATTGAAGATTTGCGTGGAAAAGTAAAAGATGTTTTAGAAGATCAAGAAGAAGAAATAAAGAATCTTCGACGCGAAGTAAAAGATTTAACCGATGAAGTGTCTAGTCTGAAAGCAGAAAAAGACGAGCTGGAGCAAACGCTCGCACTGGCTCAAGTTACGTGGTCATGGGAAGCACATCTAGCAAGATTTGTGGTCGATCCTAATGAAAAAATTTACAAAAATGGCAGGTTTGATCAAATGAGTAAATATCTGAAGAAAACAAGTTGGAGGAATAATCTTTGGAAGGAAATACAAGACAAAGTAGCGCAGTGGTCAGGTAGACATTGGCAAGTAGTTAAAAATATAAGAAAGGAGAGAAATTGTATTGCGCATCCAGATTTAATTAACTTTGACTATGTAGAAAGTGAACTTGCCAAGATTTCTCCCGAATACCGGAAGAAGATGAAGACATGTTGACATGCTCAAGATGACAGCTAGCTTAATGAAGTTTGGACGACTAGCCAGAACTACAAGGACAAGGATACGCTTTCTAGAGAATCCCGAAAACGGTTGAGTGAAATTATTTCGTGGGATCGTAAATTTGAAGAAATCGAGGGCCTACAAAATATGGAACACGAGGAGGCGAAAAAGTACTTGCAAACGTACGTTGGTAATCCTGGAAATATCCAAGAGTATTTTACCCTCGTCGATTTAATCAAAGATGAAAATGGCAAACAATTGGGAAAACTGGCCTGGAAGTTTGCGAATTCTTATCCATCTACCAACCAGGAAACAAAAGATGCGCTTGAAAAATTGCAGGCATTGTACCCAAAAAGTGAGCACAACAATCGCTACTTTAAAGAAAGAATCAGTTTTGGAGTTGACGTTGCAAGGCTGCATATCCCCGACTTCCTGCCAAAGAATTTGTGGAAGCGAGGCGTAGAAATCATGAAGAAATATTTTAAAGAAGGACTTGATTCTATATAAGCTTATATTGATTTAGCTGTGAATGTTTTGTGCGCCATTCTAAAAAAGATAAAAACACACTATACTCCGTACTCCTTATATTTCAAAACGTATAAATGATTTTTTATGTCATCATAAGTGAATGGCCAAATATGAATATAGAGTTTTGTTAATTGATTATAGATAGAAGCAAATGTTAATAGTATAACCATGTATGAAAACAGGCATTAGTCTAAAAATAAGTAATTTTATCAAGCATAGCTCAAAGCTATAATTCGTACCCGTTTTTGTTCGCTTTCAGTAGATGAGATGGCTACTTCCAAATAACAAAGAATATGAACGTTCCTAAAATTCACGATATACAGTGGCAAAGAGGGAAAGCACATGCCTCCCCCCCCTGCAAATAATCTCCAGAATCTGTTTTCAGGTTTGTCGAAATTTAAAAAGAAAGCTAGGTTAACTATTTAAAAGATTTACTAAAGTTTACAGAGTAAGAATTCTGATTTATTCCGTACCTTCCCAGGACAGGCGTTTATTTTTGCGCGGGTAAATTTAACACATGTTGGGAATGCTCAAGATGACATAATTTCATTCAAACAAAATACTCAGTATCGTATCGAATCAAAAAGCTGGTATCGCGCATCACGGGACGACCAACCGCTGTTCACTACAGCCAGTGAGCCAGTAGTTGGCATTTTCTATTCCTATTTCCATTTCCACTTCCTGAACTGCACTCAGTCGCTCCATTGTATTTCATATGTATATACATGATTAATTCTTGGTACACACTGACCCTTGCATGGGGATTCCCAGAAAACGCAGTCCCGCACTGGTTTGAGTGATCATGAATGCATTTATCGTTTAAATTCAACACAACTGGTGTAGTACGCAAGTGGCTGGTTTATGCACAGCAACTGTGGCTGATGTTAATGCATTTATCATTTACATTTTGACACATTTCAACAACAAACTATAGTGCGCATGTGCCAAATCGCACAACAAATCAAGTTGAGGAAGTTGTTAAAATTTTACAAACGGAAATTTTAAAGATAAGTTACATGTTTGTGAGTAAACTTTTGAATGCAGATGTAAACAGTGGCGAACTCAGAATAAGTCGCAATCTCCCTGATAGTTTTCGGTTTAAAAATATATTCTAGAAACAAACATTTTACGAGACGATATATAGAAATGGGTCAATAGCCGAATTTATATTAGAAGACGGATTTTCGTCTGAGACGGAGAACTCGTCTGACGGATTTCCGTCTAAACTTCTCCGTCGTTTGAACGGAAAAGTTGGACGGAGAAATTAAGACGAAGAACCTATGGTTTACCGAATTTATATCAAGACGAGTTACCCGTCTGCGTCGAGTTCTCCGTCTCAGACGAAATCCGTCTTCTAATATAAATTCGGCTAATATAAACTAATTCTAAGTACTTCCTACTCGATATCGCTGATACTTAGAAACGTATCAATACTTCCGATACTAAGAAATAGAGTGGCATTTTCTATTCGCATTCCCATTTCCTGAACCGCAGTCAGTAGCTCCATTGTACTCATATGTATAAACATGATTAATTCTTGGTACACACATGCGGGCCGTTCCCAGAAAACGCAGTCCCGCACTGGTTTCAGTGAATGCGTTTATCGTTTAGACTCTAACACATTTAAACAACATAGTGTAGTGCGCAAGTGGTTGGTTTATGCACAGTAACTGTGGTTGATGTGAACGCATTTATCGTTTAAATTCTGACACATTTCATTGACAAACTATAGTGTGCAAGTGGCTATATCGCACAACAAATCAAGGCGAAGAAATTAACAAATATAAAGACGAGTCTAACGCCTGCAATCTAAAAACTCGCTCGCATTCCAAACTCATTTAGTGGGAGATTTGAATCACGTCGTAGCGATTCAATGACGGTATTTCTAGCTACTCGAATATGAACTTATTTTCAGTGTTTTACCCGATATATTCTCACATGGGTCAGTGATAAAAGAAATTACAAGTCACATTCAATGAGTACGAGTGTGAGTAATTTTGTTAGCGTTGATCGTGAGAGAAGCCGGACTGAGAAGTCGAGCTTATTATTTATATGTCTTCGAAACGCTTGCCGGTTCGCCTGCAGACCACATGTTCCCAATCGGGGATGCTTACCGAAAACCTAGTCCTAGTCTTGTGCATTATATTTCTCAATGGATGGAATAAGGCCACGTCTATCTCATAAATTGTAGCTAAATGCGAATATTTGCAAGTATGCAAGGAAAATGTACTTCGTTTTCGCTAGAAACAAACATTTTACGAGACGATAGAGATGGGTCATTATAAACTAATTCTAAGTACTTCCTACTCGATATCGCTGATACTGAGAAACGTATCAATACTTCCGATACTAAGAAAAAGTGTGGCATTTTCTATTCCCATTCCCATTTCCTGAACCGCAGTCAGTAGCTCCATTGTACTCATATGTATAAACATGATTAATTCTTGGTACACACATGGGGGCCGTTCCCAGAAAACGCAGTCCCGCACTGGTTTCAGTGAATGCATTTATCGTTTAGACTCTAACACATTTAAACAACATAGTGTAGTGCGCAAGTGGTTGGTTTATGCACAGTAACTGTGGTTGATGTGAACGCATTTATCGTTTAAATTCTGACACATTTCAACAACAAACTATAGTGTGCAAGTGGCTATATCGCACAACAAATCAAGGCGAAGAAATTAACAAATATAAAGACGAGTCTAACGCCTGCAATCTAAAAACTCGCTCGCATTCCAAACTCATTTAGTGAAAGATTTGAATCACGTCGTAGCGATTCAATGACGGTATTTCTAGCTACTCGAATATGAACTTATTTTCAGTGTTTTACCCGATATATTCTCACATGGGTCAGTGATAAAAGAAATTACAAGTCACATTCAATGAGCACGAGTGTGAGTAATTTTGTTAGCGTTGATCGTGAGAGAAGCCGGACTGAGAAGTTGAGCTTATTATTTATATGTCTTCGAAACGCTTCCCAGTTCGCCTGCAGACCACATGTTTCCAATCGGGGATGCTTACCGAAAACCTATTCCTAGTCTTGTGCATTACATTTCTCAATGGATGGAATAAGGCCACGTCTATCTCATAAATTGTAGCTAAATGCGAATATTTGCAAGTATGCAAGGAAAATGTACTTCGTTTTCGCTAGAAACAAACATTTTACGACTAATTCTAAGTACTTCCTACTCGATATCGCTGATACTGAGAAACGTATCAATACTTCCGATACTAAGAAAAAGTGTGGCATTTTCTATTGCCATTTCCTGAACCGCAGTCAGTAGCTCCATTGTACTCATATGCATAAACATGATTAATTCTTGGTACACACATGGGGGTTCCCAGAAAACACAGTCCCGCATTGTTTTCAGTGAACGCATTTATCGTTTAAATTCTGACACATTTCAACAACGAAGTGTAGTGCGCAAGTGGTTGGTTTATGCACAGTAACTGTGGTTGATGTTAATGCATTTATCGTTTAAATTCTGACACATTTCAACAACAAAGTGTAGTGCGCAAGTGGTTGGTTTATGGACAGTAACTGTGGTTGATGTGAACGCATTTATCGTTTAAATTCTGACACATTTCTATGACAAACTATAGTGTGCAAGTGGCTATATCGCACAACAAATCAAGGCGAAGAAATTAACAAATATAAAGGCGAGTCTAACGCCTGCAATCACATTCAATGAGCATGAGTGTGAGTAATTTTGTTAGCGTTGATCGTGAGAGAAGCCGGACTGAGAAGTCGAGCTTATTATTTATATGTCTTCGAAACACTTGCCGGTTCGCCTGCAAACCACATGTTCCCAATCGGGGATGCTTACCGAAAACCTATTCCTAGTCTTGTGCATTACATTTCTCAATGGATGGAATAAGGCCACGTCTATCTCATAAATTGTAGCTAAATGCGAATATTTGCAAGTATGCAAGGAACATGTACTTCGTTTTCGCTAGAAACAAGCATTTTACGAAACGATAGAGATGGGTCATTATAAACTAATTCTAAGTACTTCCTACTCGATATCGCTGATACTGAGAAACGTGTCAATACTTCCGATACTAAGAAAAAGTGTGGCATTTTCTATTCCCATTCCCATTTCCTGAACCGCAGTCAGTAGCTCCATTGTACTCATATGTATAAACATGATTAATTCTTGGTACACACATGGGGGCCGTTCCCAGAAAACGCAGTCCCGCACTGGTTTCAGTGAATGCATTTATCGTTTAGACTCTAACACATTTAAACAACATAGTGTAGTGCGCAAGTGGTTGGTTTATGCACAGTAACTGTGGTTGATGTGAACGCATTTATCGTTTAAATTCTGACACATTTCAACAACAAACTATAATGTGCAAGTGGCCATATCGCACAACAAATCAAGGCGAAGAAATTAACAAATATAAAGACGAGTCTAACGCCTGCAATCTAAAAACTCGCTCGCATTCCAAACTCATTTAGTAGGAGATTTGAATCACGTCGTAGCGATTGAATGACGGTATTTCTAGCTACTCGAATATGAACTTATTTTCAGTGTTTTACCCGATATATTCTCACATGGGTCAGTGATAAAAGAAATTACAAGTCACATTCAATGAGCACGAGTGTGAGTAATTTTGTTAGAGTTGATCGTGAGAGAAGCCGGACTGAGAAGTCGAGCTTATTGTTTATATGTCTTCGAAACGCTTGCCAGTTCGCCTGCAGACCACATGTTCCCAATCGCGGATGCTTACCGAAAACCTATTCCTAGTCTTGTGCATTACATTTCTCAATGGATGGAATAAGGCCACGTCTATCTCATAAATTGTAGCTAAATGCGAATATTTGCAAGTATGCAAGGAACATGTACTTCGTTTTCGCTAGAAACAAACATGTTACGACACGATAGAGATGGGTCATTATAAACTAATTCTAAGTACTTCCTACTCGATATCGCTGATACTGAGAAACGTATCAATACTTCCGATACTAAGAAAAAGTGTGGCATTTTCTATTGCCATTCCCATTTCCTGAACCGCAGTCAGTAGCTCCATTGTACTCATATGCATAAACATGATTAATTCTTGGTACACACATGGGGGCCGTTCCCAGAAAACGCAGTCCCGCACTGGTTTCAGTGAACGCATTTATCGTTTAAATTCTGACACATTTCAACAACAAAGTGTAGTGCGCAAGTGGTTGGTTTATGGACAGTAACTGTGGTTGATGTGAACGCATTTATCGTTTAAATTCTGACACATTTCTATGACAAACTATAGTGTGCAAGTGGCTATATCGCACAACAAATCAAGGCGAAGAAATTAACAAATATAAAGGCGAGTCTAACGCCTGCAATCACATTCAATGAGCACGAGTGTGAGTAATTTTGTTAGCGTTGATCGTGAGAGAAGCCGGACTGAGAAGTCGAGCTTATTATTTATATGTCTTCGAAACGCTTCCCGGTTCGCCTGCAGACCACATGTTCCCAATCGGGGATGCTTACCGAAAACCTATTCCTAGTCTTGTGCATTACATTTCTCAATGGATGGAATAAGGCCACGTCTATCTCATAAATTGTAGCTAAATGCGAATATTTGAAAGTATGCAAGGAAAATGTACTTCGTTTTCGCCAGAAACAAACATTTTACGAGACGATAGAGATGGGTCATTATAAACTAATTCTAAGTACTTCCTACTCGATATCCCTGATACTGAGAAACGTATCAATACTTCCGATACTAAGAAATAGTGTGGCATTTTCTATTGCCATTCCCATTTCCTGAACCGCAGTCAGTAGCTCCATTGTACTCATATGCATAAACATGATTAATTCTTTGTACACACATGGGGGTTCCCAGAAAACACAGTCCCGCATTGTTTTCAGTGAACGCATTTATCGTTTAAATTCTGACACATTTCAACAACGAAGTGTAGTGCGCAAGTGGTTGGTTTATGCACAGTAACTGTGGTTGATGTTAATGCATTTATCGTTTAAATTCTGACACATTTCAACAACAAAGTGTAGTGCGCAAGTGGTTGGTTTATCCACCGTAACTGTGGCTGATGTGAACGCATTTATCGTTTAAATTCTGACACATTTCGACAACAAACTATACTGCGCAAGTGGCTATATCGCACAGCAAATCAAGGTGAGGAAGGTCTTAAAATATATAACTGTATAGAAACACAGCGGGAATTTTCCCGCCGAACTTGACAAGCGAAGCGATATAATGAGAATTTGTAATTGAATCGAATTATAATATTTGTACAAAATCTTTTTATTGAGTTATACTGATTATAAAAGAAATAGGAAACATACACACTGACCCTTGCATCGGGGTTCCCAGAAAACGCAGTCCCGCACTGGTTTCAGTGAATGCATTTATCGTTTAGACTCTAACACATTTTAAACAACATAGTGTAGTGCGCAAGTGGTTGGTTTATGGACAGTAACTGTGGTTGATGTGAACGCATTTATCGTTTAAATTCTGACACATTGACACATTTTCTGACACATCTCATAAATTGTAGCTAAATGCGAATATTTGCAAGTATGCAAGGAATATGTACTTCGTTTTCGCTAGAAACAAACATTTTACGAGACGATAGAGATGGATCAATATAAACTAATTCTAAGTACTTCCTATATACTCGATATCGCTGATACTGAGAAACGTATCAATACTTCCGATACTAAGAAAAAGTGTGGCATTTTCTATTCCCATTCCCATTTCCTGAACCGCAGTCAGTAGCTCCATTGTACTCATATGTATAAACTGATTAATTCTTGGTACACACATGGGGGCCGTTCCCAGAAAACGCAGTCCCGCACTGGTTTCAGTGAATGCATTTATCGTTTAGACTCTAACACATTTAAACAACATAGTGTAGTGCGCAAGTGGTTGGTTTATGCACAGTAACTGTGGTTGATGTGAACGCATTTATCGTTTTAAATTCTGACACATTTCAACAACAAACTATAGTGTGCAAGTGGCCATATCGCACTACAAATCAAGGCGAAGAAATTAACAAATATAAAGACGAGTCTAACGCCTGCAATCTAAAAACTCGCTCGCATTCCAAACTCATTTAGTAGGAGATTTGAATCACGTCGTAGCGATTGAATGACGGTATTTCTAGCTACTCGAATATGAACTTATTTTCAGTGTTTTACCCGATATATTCTCACATGGGTCAGTGATAAAAGAAATTACAAGTCACATTCAATGAGCACGAGTGTGAGTAATTTTGTTAGCGTTGATCGTGAGAGAAGCCGGACTGAGAAGTTGAGCTTATTATTTATATGTCTTCGAAACGCTTCCCGGTTCGCCTGCAGACCACATGTTCCCAATCGGGGATGCTTACCGAAAACCTATTCCTAGTCTTGTGCATTACATTTCTCAATGGATGGAATAAGGCCACGTCTATCTCATAAATTGTAGCTAAATGCGAATATTTGAAAGTATGCAAGGAAAATATACTTCGTTTTCGCCAGAAACAAACATTTTACGAGACGATAGAGATGGGTCAATGTAAACTAATTCTAAGTACTTCCTACTCGATATCGCTGATACTGAGAAACGTATCAATACTTCCGATACTAAGAAAAAGTGTGGCATTTTCTATTGCCATTCCCATTTCCTGAACCGCAGTCAGTAGCTCCATTGTACTCATATGCATAAACATGATTAATTCTTTGGGTACACACATGGGGTTCCCCAGAAAACACGTCCCGCTTGTTTTCAGTGAACGCATTTATCGTTTAAATTCTGACACATTTCAACAACGAAGTGTAGTGCGCAAGTGGTTGGTTTATGCACAGTAACTGTGGTTGATGTTAGCATTTATCGTTTAAATTCTGACACATTTCAACAACAAAGTGTAGTGCGCAAGTGGTTGGTTTATCCACCGTAACTGTGGCTGATGTGAACGCATTTATCGTTTAAATTCTGACACATTTCGACAACAAACTATACTGCGCAAGTGGCTATATCGCACAGCAAATCAAGGTGAGGAAGGTCTTAAAATATATAAACTATAGAAACACAGCGGGAATTTTCCCGCCGAACTTGACAAGCGAAGCGATATAATGAGAATTTGTAATTGAATCGAATTATAATATTTGTATAAAATCTTTTTATTGAGTTATACTTATAAAAGAAATAGGAAACATACACACTGACCTTTGCATCGGGGTTCCCAGAAAACGCAGTCCCGCACTGGTTTCAGTGAATGCATTTATCGTTTAGACTCTAACACATTTTAAACAACATAGTGTAGTGCGCAAGTGGTTGGTTTATGGACAGCAACTGTGGTTGATGTGAACGCATTTATCGTTTAAATTCTGACACATTGACACATTTTCTGACACATCTCATAAATTGTAGCTAAATGCGAATATTTGAAAGTATGCAAGGAACATGTACTTCGTTTTCGCTAGAAACAAACATTTTACGAGACGATAGAGATGGGTCAATATAAACTAATTCTAAGTACTTCCTACTCGATATCGCTGATACTGAGAAACGTATCAATACTTCCGATACTAAGAAAAAGTGTGGCATTTTCTATTCCCATTCCCATTTCCTGAACCGCAGTAAGTAGCTCCATTGTACTCATATGTATAAACATGATTAATTCTTGGTACACACATGGGGGCCGTTCCCAGAAAACGCAGTCCCGCACTGGTTTCAGTGAATGCATTTATCGTTTAGACTCTAACACATTTAAACATCATAGTGTAGTGCGCAAGTGGTTGGTTTATGCACAGTAACTGTGGTTGATGTGAACGCATTTATCGTTTAAATTCTGACACATTTCAACAACAAACTATAGTGTGCAAGTGGCTATATCGCACAACAAATCTGGGCGAAGAAATTAACAAATATAAAGACGAGTCTAACGCCTGCAATCTAAAAACTCGCTCGCATTCCAAACTCATTTAGTGGGAGATTTGAATCACGTCGTAGCGATTCAATGACGGTATTTTTAGCTACTCGAATATGAACTTATTTTCAGTGTTTTACCCGATATATTCTCACATGGGTCAGTGATAAAAGAAATTACAAGTCACATTCAATGAGCACGAGTGTGAGTAATTTTGTTAGCGTTGATCGTGAGAGAAGCCGGACTGAGAAGTCGTGCTTATTTTTATATGTCTTCGAAACGCTTGCCAGTTCGCCTGCAGACCACATGTTCCCAATTGGGGATGCTTACCGAAAACCTATTCCTAGTCTTGTGCATTACATTTCTCAATGGATGAATAAGGCCACGTCTATCTCATAAATTGTAGCTAAATGCGAATATTTGCAATATGCAAGGAAAATGTACTTCGTTTTCGCTAGAAACAAACATTTTACGACACGATAGAGATGGGTCATTATAAACTAATTCTAAGTACTTCCTACTCGATATCGTTGATACTGAGAAACGTATCAATACTTCCGATACTAAGAAAAAGTGTGCATTTTCTATTCCATTCCCATTTCCTGAACCGCAGTCAGTAGCTCCATTGTACTCATATGTATAAACATGATTAATTCTTGGTACACACATGGGGGCCGTTCCCAGAAAACGCAGTCCCGCACTGGTTTCAGTGAACGCATTTATCGTTTAAATTCAGACACATTTCAACAACGAAGTGTAGTGCGCAAGTGGTTGGTTTATGCACAGTAACTGTGGTTGATGTTAATGCATTTATCGTTTAAATTCTGACACATTTCAACAACAAACTATACTGCGCAAGTGGCTATATCGCACAGCAAATCAAGGTAAGGTGAGGAAGTTCTTAAAATGTTGTTAATGGAAAATTATATAAAGACGAGTCCAACGCCTGTATTCTAAAATCTCACTCACACTCAAACTGATTTGAGTGCGAGATTTGAATCACGTCGTAGCGATTCAATGACGGTATTTCTACTCGAATATGAACTTATTTTCAGTGTTTTAACTTGAAACTTTCTATTGACCAAAGATAGGACTCGATATATAAGGAATAAGAGCACGTTGTAGCTAAATGCGAATATTTGCAAGGAATATATATTTCGTTTTCACTAGAAACAATCATTTTACGAGACGATAGAGATGGGTCAATATAAACTAATACTAAGTACTTCCTACTCAATATCGCTGATGCTGAAAAACGTATCAATACTTCCGATACTAAGAGAAAGAGAAATTTTCTATTTCCATTTCTTGAACTGCAGTCAGTCGCTCCATTGTATTCATATGTATATACATGATTAATTCTTGGTACGCAGTCCCGCACTGCCACTGGTTTCAGTTAATGCATTTAACGTTTAAATTCAACAACAAAGTGTAGTACGCATGTGGCTGGTTTATGCACAGCAACTGTGGCTGATGTTAATGCATTTATCATTTACATTTTGGCACATTTCAACAACAAACTATAGTGCGCAAGTGGCTATATCGCACAACAAATCAAGTTGAGGATTGTGTTAAAATTTTACAAACGGAAATTTTAAAGATAAGTTACATGCACTCATTCATGAGTGCAGTGACTCATGTTTGTGAGTAAACTTTTGAATTCAGATGTAGCTAAACAGTGGCGAACTCAGAATAAGTCGCAATCTCTCTGATAGTTTTCGGTTCAAAAATAATTTTATATTCTTTTGAAATCCATTGGAAATAACAGTGTTATTAAGGTGTTTTGAATTGAAATTAAACCGCGTAAATTATTCTGACTAACCTTAGATCAGCTACTTGCTGTAAGCATTGATTGAATTTTTGACACATTTCAACAGCAAAGTGTAGTGCGCAAGTTGCTATACCGCACAACAAATCAAGGCGAAGAAATTCATAAATCATGATAAAGACGAGTCTATAACGCCTGTATTCTAAAAACTCACCCGCATTCCAAACTCATTTAGTTGGAGATTTGAATCACCTCGTAGCGATTCAATGGCGGTATTTCTACTCGAATATGAACTTATTTTCAGTGTTTTACCCGATATATTCTCACATGGATCAGTGATAAAAGAAATTACAAGTCACATTCAATGAGCATGAGTGTGAGTAATTTTGTTAGCGTTGATCGTGAGAGAAGCCGGACTCAGAAGTCGAGCTTATTATTTATATGTCTTCGAAACGCTTGCCGGTTCGCCTGCAAACCACATGTTCCCAATCGGGGATGCTTACCGAAAACCTAGTCCTTGTCTTGTGCATTATATTTTTCAATGGATGGAATAAGGCCACGTCTATCTCATAAATTGTAGCTAAATGCGAATATTTGAAAGTATGCAAGGAGTATGTACTTCGTTTCCGCCAGAAACAAACATTTTACGAGACGATAGAGATGGGTCATTATAAACTAATTCTAAGTACTTCCTACTCGATATCGCTGATACTGAGAAACGTATCAATACTTCCGATACTAAGAAAAAGAGTGGCATTTTCTATTCTCATTTCCTGAACCGCAGTCGGTAGCTCCATTGTACTCATATGTATAAACATGATTAATTCTTGGTACACACTGACCTTTGCATGGGGTTTCCCAGAAAACGCAGTCCCGCACTGGTTTCAGTGAATACATTTATCGTTTAAATTCTGACACATTTCAACAACGAAGTTGTAGGGAAATGCGAATATTTGCAAATATTCAAGGATTTATGTACTTCGTTTCTGCCAGAAATAAACATGTCACGGGACGACCGCATGATGATGTCATGCAGATTACTGATATTATATAAATCAGAATCCGAGAAATCGGATGAACAGTATTTTCAGTACTTTTTTATTTTTGCGCGTGTAAATTTAGCACATGTTGGGAATGCTCAAGATGACATAATTTCATTCAAACAAAATACCCAGTATCGTATCGAATCAAAAAGCTGGTATCGCGCATCACGGGACCACCAACCGCTCTTCATTACAGCCAGTGAGCCTGTAGTGAACAGCGGTTGGTCGTCTCGTGATGCGCATATGTAAGGTATACGTTGGTATATGTAAGGTCACTGCCACTGACTCTTGCATGGGGGTTCCCAGAAAACGCAGTCCCGCACTGGTTTCAGTGAACGCATTTATCGTTTAAATTCTGACACATTTCAACAACGAAGTGTAGTGCGCAAGTGGTTGGTTTATGGACAGTAACTGTGGCTGACGTGAGCGCATTTATCGTTTAATTTCTGACACATTTCGACAACAAATTATAGTACGCAAGTTGCTATATCGCACAACAAATCAAGGTGAGGAAATTCTTAATATGTCATTAAGGAAAATTATGTAAAGACGAGTCTAACGCCTGTTTTCTAAAAGCTCACTCGCATTCAAACTCATTGAGTGGGAGATTTGAATCACGTCGTAGCGATTCAATGACGGTATTTCCACTCGAATATGAACTTATTTTCAGTGTTTTACCTTGAAACCTTCCATTGACTAAAGATACGACCCTATATATTCTCACATGGATCAGTGATGAAAGAAATTCTCAGTTATGCTCATCAGTTGAGTAATTTTGTGAGCGTTGATGCTGAAAGAGGTCGAGTTTATTCGATGTCTTCGAAATATTTGTTCGTGTGCAACCAAATGTTCCCAATCGGAGATGCTTACCGAAAACGTAGTCCTTGTCTTATTGTGCATTACATTACAACAAATAAAGACACGTTTATCTCATAAATTGTAGCTAAACGGTCTAAATGCGAATATTTGCAAGTATGCAAGGAATATGTACTTCGTTTCCGCCAGAAACAAACATTTTACGAGACGATAGAGATGGGTCAATATGAACTAATACTAAATACTTCCTACTCGATATCGCTGATACTAAGAAACGTATCAATACTTCCGATACTAAGAAAAAGTGTGGCATTTTCTATTCCCATTTCCTGAACCGCAGTCAGTAGCTCCATTGTATTCATATGTATATACATGATTAGTTCTTAGAAAACGCATTGCTGTCCCGCACTGGTTTCAGTGAATGCATTTATCGTTTAAATTCTGACACATTTCAACAACAAAGTGTAGTGCGCAAGTGGTTGGTTTATGCACAGTAACTGTGGTTGATGTGAACGCATTAATCGTTTAATTTCTGACACTGCATGGCATTTCGACAACAAACTATAGCTCGCAAGTGGCTATACCGCACAACAAATCCAGGTGAGGAAGTTGTTAAAATGTTATTAACCGGAAAATTATAGAAAGACGAGTCAACGCTTGTATTCAAAAATCTTGCTTACACCCAAACTCATTGAGTGGGAGATTTGAATCACGTCGTAGCGATTCAATGACGGTATTTCTACTCGAATATGAACTTATTTTCAGTGTTTTACCTTGAAAATTTCCATCGATTTAAGATAGGACTCTCAAAAGAAATTCTCAGTTATGCTCATCAGTTGAGTAATTTTGTGAGCGTTGATGCTGAGAGAGGTCGAGTTTATTTATGTCTTCGAAATGTTTGTTCGTGTGCAAACCACATGTTCCCAATCGGGGATGCTTACCGAAAACCTATTACTAGTCTTGTGCATTACATTTCTCAATGGAAGGAATAAGGGTAGGCCATAGATTCTACGTTTCCACTAGAAACAAACATGTTACGACACGATAGAGATGGGTCAATATAAACTAATACAATAAGTACTTCCTACTCAATATCGCTGATACTGAGAAACGTATCAATACTTCCGCGATACTAAAAAAAACATAGGTTACTTCGGAACAGTACTGTACATACATACATTTATATATATATATATATATATATATATTAATATATATATATATACAGGCGCGGATCTAGGGGTAGGCAACATAGTCAAGTGACTATGGTAAATTATCCAGATAATAATTACAAAATTCCCCGTTCCCAATTCCCAAAGTATTCATTCATAAGTGGAAACATGCAGTTCATTATTCATATTTTCATATCACAGTCCAGTTATTTATTGATATACAGCTCATTGGTGTTTAGGCAAGCCATGAAGCAAGCCAATGAGAGGCAGCTATTTTGCCTATGCCTGGCGGCCGATACAGCCTTTTGATTGGCTAATAGCTTTTTTGCCTAACCAAGACGAATTTGCCTAACTTGACGTAATCAGGAAGCCTTATGATTGGGTAATTTTTTTAAATTCTATTCTTTCATTGGCTTGAAGATTTTGCCTATCTTTGGCGAGGTGAACCAATCACTGTGCTTCGTGAGCATGCCTGTGTTAGTCGAGTTAGTCATGTTAGGCAAAGACCAGGCAAAGAGTGGAAACATGGCTTTTCAAATTTCAATCGCTCTGAGCATCGAAGGATTAAATTTCGAAGTTAGCTTCTGGTTTTTCGCGTTCGCTTTGTTATTGTGTTATTTTACAATGTCTTCATCGTCTTGTAGTGATTTGTACGAGCCATTCGAACGATTTAGAGTGTCTAAATGACGCGATATTTATGCGACGTTTCGATCTTTGTATTTATGAAGGCGACACGCTCAAGGCTGAGCTCAAATTTTTGTGTGGAATTATATGTGCCGAAGCACGCTCTTAATGGCAAGAAAAAGGCTTGTACTGCAATAAGTTAACTATATTTTGTTTATTCCATGCTACGCTTCTATATAACTGTGTTTTTAGATCTCAAATCGGCAAAATTATTGTCGAACAACAACAAGCATGGCTAGTTCGTTTAGTATTCAAATATAAATTTACATATGTCTGCGCCGGCCGGGTCAAAGGTTGCTGTATATGAATATATAACTTAAATATGATATGAAAGACACAAACTTAGCATATTCACTTTTAGTTACTTATTATTATTCGTATTCCTGATGTATATCACATGTATAAATACGTTCATATAAAAATTATGAGTGAATATACATGATGTTGACATTGTAACTCTGCCGTCAGTCCGCGATATAATTGAAATTGATGGATACTTGATCTAGCGTGATTTTAATTTCCTGTTTTGAATATTTTCCTACTTCTCCTGAGTTCTGATCAGCTTCGGCCCTAGTACTAGTAGGTAACAATAATACTCAAAGTTGGGACTACTCAAAGTAGGGACTAAGGAATACTTTGGGAATAAGTAGATTCTCCCCTCAATGTCCTCTCAAAAACAATTATTAGCGTATATTTTTAAAAGTGTATCCTAGGCATGCTGATGAGCCCTAATATGGGGCGAAGCAGTTCAGCTGGTAGTCTCAAGACTATCATTTAAAAAATCGAACATCTTTTGATATGCCTGTAAATGAGTCATGCGTGACGCCATACGTGACGTCATAAATGACGTCATAAAATTTGACTAAGGTATGAAAAATCCTAGATCCGCACCTGTATATATATATATATATATATATATATATATATATATATATATGTGTGTGTGTGTGTGTGTGTGTGTGTATTAATTCACAAACAAGGATTTGTCATTCAGAAAAGAAAGATACACTACATGCAGTATATAGAACTTTACACTTATTGAGTCCGGCAAGCTTTAACTATATATATCGCCGCTGTTGAGGTACGATTTAGTAAATTTTACACTAATTTGAATATAACAGTTATTCACTTGCGCCATTTCGCTCGTACACGAACTGTATAAACGAATCGATTTCAAAATTATTCACTCGGTGTTTCTGAAATAATACAGAGACGTTTCAAATGCAATCAATAATCGTGTTAACTGCCGAAATACATATAAGTGTGGAAGTGGCTGAACAGTTTTCAACGTATATTATATGAACGTAAAGGCCAAATTTAATTTTATTGCGACTTGTGACATGCCTGGCACCTGACACAGTTAGAAAACATTTCTGGCGGCAAACCGTAGTTGATTTTCTTTGAATTAAGGGGCCTGTGAATTAGTTAGCTAATGCCCGAGCTTTTCGCAAAAATATTTTTAACACGGTAGCTAGCTATATATAAGCCTATATTAGCTGTTTTTATCAAACCGTATTTTATCGCTGCATAATAAATTTGAACAATGAAAAATAATGACAATACTATGAATTAACAACAATACTGAAAATAAATATCCATATGGCTAGAACTATATATAAATTATTATTTGTTGTCCTTGTTATGATTTGTTGTGTGTTGTTCGGAAAATTAATTTGTCAATGCCTATGACATTTTTCATTAAATCTTGTGAAGATTCACTGAAATCATTGAATGGTTATATCGTGTATAGTATATTATATCGCTACTTGCACTGCGACGCGTAGATGGCTGATTTTTATACCTATTATTGTTTTAATTCTTCAGTAATATAACATTCTCATGTAAGCATATTTGAGAAGTGAAATCTAAAATCTAAACCATCTTTTGAACATCTCAAAACAAAAGTGTGAAATCAGTAAATTTCGCACCATTGCAATAATCGAGAGATTAACGCCACAATTAGAACAATTAGGAAAAGTCTTAATTTTCAGGTATTACCGCAGATTTTTAGTTAGAAACACTGCGGGCTCGTCAACAAGCCTTTCTTGAAGTTATTCAACGTGGTTTGAGGTTCGTAGCTATTTTAAAGAGAAAATCAAATCGATTCTTTTCGATCGCGCTGAAGGCGCAATTACGGACTCCCGTCAACAAATAAGCGCTTGATGACCGCGAAACAGACGGTGGTATTTTTTACTTCTATCTTTTATATCTGTAGAGAAAATTATAAGATTGATTGATACCATTCATATAAGCACTAAAGATTTTTTTGCCTTGCTATAGTATCACTTTTGACTTCTTAGAACCAGTTCCTGAATACCAAGAATCTGAACCCAGCAATCATCATATTAATCATAGTTTCCGTAGAACAGCACAGCATGCTCACTAAATACTGATATTAAACGCTTGTACGTTCTTTAAAACATTTCGGCATGATTAGCTATATACATTTTCCATATTACAGTTAAAGATCGTCTTCCAATTCAAATGATCTTATAAACCCAACAAGATATAGCTTACAATTACTTTATACACCCTTCACACACGCTGATTAAAATACCCGCGTTTAAAACTCCTGTAGCCTAAATTGAAAGTTACTTTCTGTATACACGTTCGTTAAAACATGTTTTAGATTCAAGTTATTAATTTCAAGTAGAATAATATTAAATACAGCTTCATTAAAATCTAGATGCTTATATTACAATCCTAAATTGAGAAGCGGCTTCTGCGCTCATCTCGTCGTAATCGTACTTAAATAAGCGTGTAAAGATGTGTCTCTAGCACTCGGTGACATGCAGGAAACTACGGGACCCTTAAGTTGCTTGCATATTTACGGCTGCATTTCAATTCCTTTCACTTTCAATTTTGTGTCAATTTGGCATGTTTTCTAAATGCATTAATTATTGTTATGGGTCTCGGACTATTCAACCTTACTTGTATAATTTGTGAAACTGATCATTGCATGTCTAGTCTACATGACATATTCATAAAAAATCTTTATAGTAACATGACGGTGCAATCTTCATGAGTAAAAATACAGCGATAATCATTTCAAGTGTAAAAAAGGAAAACATATATAAAGACAACTCAAATATACCTACAGAGAATTGTTAAGTCTTATTTACAAACTAATTTTTTATACATTACTGTTGCAGGTTTTCCACAGTGAACTGTATTTGGTAATATCCCCACAATCCATGCAAAATGACTTCACTTGTTTACCTTGCGTTCGCTGCTTGTTTTCTCTTTCTTTCTTCGGCTGGTCTTGATCAAGGAAATGCAACATCTTCATCACGAAATACGAATTTTACGATCAACGAGCAAATGACAACTTCCAATCTGACGTCCAACCAATCCATCATCTGCGGAGATGACGAGGTCAAACTTCGAATTAATAAGTCAGATATCGAGAAAATTCTGAGTCTTATGCATAAGTATACTACCAATGTCGTCGAGATAGAAGTGACTATCAGTTCAAATAGGAATTACTCAAGACTCAAATGGTCCTGGGCAAGCAAAATTGGTCGAACAATTCTCTCACTGATTGCAAAAGAAAACTTTGTCCTTAACTCTTCATTCAGTTCATTTAATACGCGATCTTATCACCTAACCACACTCAAAGCTGGTATCGAAAAAGTGAATATTATGGTTACAGAGGAGAAGTACGGGTGTTTGCCGAAAGGAAACAATGGATCTGAAAATGTTTTTGACTTTCTGCTGCAGGAGCTTTTTCGTTTAGACGAAGTTCATGATTATAAGTTATGCCGTCTACATAGAGATGAGAAAAACGAGAAACAATACAACTGCTGTAGGGTGGTGAATCACGGAAAGCTGACAATTTGCGCTGAATATTCATCAATTATACTCAAACATGCTGATAGTTACATATTTTATGGAGTGGCATTCCTCTTTCTTCTAATCGATATTCCTCTGCTGGGGAATTATTTATCATCATTCCATGTGGAAAGTGATCGCTACGAGATTACTGACAGTCCAATGGCACTTTCATACATTTTTTATTATGTGTTTATCAAGGCATCGAAAAGTTGCGCGAAAAAGTGTTTTAGAAGGTTCGCGTTTGCGTTGGTAGTTTCGGTGATTCTCTCTGTTTATTTCTCAGGACGGGGTTGGATTGTCTTTTCATCGGTGTGGGGCGTTTTTTTCACGGTTGTTGATGTCTTTGCGTTATCTGCAGGTGGTAATTCACGTGGTGATGATAAAAACGATGACAATATCTATGAGAAATCTCTTTTGTTAGTTACATTACCTGCAAACGTTAAATTTTGGTGGAAAATGATCACCAAGTCTCCCTGTTTAACAGATGGGCTTTTATCAAAAGCAATTCGAATTTTCTTATTTGTGATCTTTTACCCATTGTTTTTTTTGTTTACTTGTGTACTTGCTTTGGGTGGCATCCTACTTCCTCCTCTTCGAACGATTTTCTCACATTCTGCTAGTCGATTTCAATCTGTTATCGGGGGTGCACTTTGGATGCTTTTTATCTCGTCTCTTCTCCTTGTAACTCTAATCGCTATATATGTCGCTTTTTTTGCTCTACTTTCTTCTGCACTCCATTTAGTCATTGGCTTTTATCTAAACGGATCATTTTACAGCCCAATCGTTACACCTATATTACTTTTTGTTGTCTATTCTTGGCGAGACTGGAGATCGTTTGTAGAAACAAAGTACCTACAACTTAAAACAAAGATTTATGAAGTTTGCAACGAACATGAAGAAATTCTGAAACATGAAGAAATTCTGAAACATGAAGAAATTCTGGAAAATGAAGAAATTCTGGAACATGAAGAAATTCTGGAATATGAAGAAATTCTGACAGAAGGCGAATCGAATAACGAGTTTGAGGTGAACATCAATGATGGAACAGTTCCGGAAGCTCTTTATGACAAATTGCGGGAAAAAATCTTTCCGTATAACAAAGTATTGTTTCATTTCTTCATCCGAATGTATTTCATGGTCAATTTTTGCCTTCTTGTGTTTGTCATGATTTTTTTAGCCCAAGAATCCAACATTTCTGGACCAGTTCAAATCACCAGCACATTCGTCATAGCAACTCTTCCGTTTGTATTTACCATATTATTGCCCGAACATACATTTGAACAAAAAGATACCCACAACAAGAGTCTAAAACAGAAAATCAAGAAATTTATGACAATATTGAGTAAAACTGGCGATATTGTAAAGGTTAAGGTTGAATGCGAAGCAGTAAACATCATAGACATAATTGATTCATCCATCGACTTAGAGTGCTAGAATATAATTTCCTGGCTCAGCTACATATTAAGGCTTAGAGTCTGTTTGTACAAAAGTCGGATAGCTCTATCCACCCTTTAGCGGCTATTTCTAAAATTGCACATTGTTAACCTCAATAGTTCTCTTTAATAAATGTTGCTCTCAAAGCTGTAATATTTTTGCCGTTCAAGCCTCAGCAACAGTTGAGAATTCACTATATCCGCTGGATAGCGCTCTTCAGCTTTCGTTTAATCATCCCTTGATTAGTCAGTGTTTTGTAAGTATTCACCATGCATGATTAGTGTTTTATAAATATATTATTATTATATTATTATTTGTAAGTATATTACCGTTATTACCTGATTAGTATATTGCAATTATATAACTGTCATATAACTCTTTAATATAGCGCAAATGAATGTAACCGATCGATAAGTAATGCAACTATATTTACGAATTCATAGTTCTCGCAGTATTAGCGTAATCTTCATATAATATTGTTATAATTAAGCTTTTTAGATATTTAGGATGAATACAATGTAATGGCACACAGTCTTCTTCTCTTTTTTTGTTTATCTTTCCCGCAAGACTTTCTACAGGGGGCTTTTCAGAGGGGTATTTTCAAAAGTTTGTCGAGATTTCCCCGTCTTGCGTCAAAAAGATCAGCAACAGCGTTCGGAAATAGGTCAGTCGACGTCCGAAGTTCCAAACGTACTGGATTTTTTATGAAACAGAGAATTCAGGTATCTTAAAAACTTGAGCAAGTCGATTGGTTCACGTAATTATTCACAGGCAGGTGTTCTTTACCGCATCTTCTCAACAGTTGAAAATTATTCTAAAGATAATTTCTCTTTAAATTTTCTCTGGAGTAACTGTGATAGGTGTAAGGGTAATACTGAGCATTCTAGCGTTCGCAGGGAAATGAATAAATATCTCTGTCATGTGGGAAAAATGTAATTATATTAAGGCGATGAGGGGAGTTGCAAGGTCGTAACAGCGTTCCGGGAAGAAAGGTTTTTGATACAGCCTGAATATCAAACCACTTGACACGACCCGCGACCGCTTAACGGAGTTTTAAACATGAATTATTATTTGCCGCTTCAGCTGTATTTGGGATGTTGTTATGTATGCACTTTTTGTTATAATTATGTCACACATTTACTTTTGACTTACGTAATGGCCTCGCTTCCAATACGCAAGCGGATTGGTTCACGTAATTGTTTAAGTACAGATGCATGTTCTTAAATTAATTTCCCTTAATTTGTTAGATTTCGAAATTAATCATTCAAATATTTACAAAAATACGAGCTAATGTTAAACTGTTTTAACTCAAAATTTTTCAATTTAAGTCTGGCTTCCATACGACGCGGAGTATGTCGCCCAGTTGCGGGTGGGAGTTTTAAAAATGGCGACAATAAACGAAAAGACCTTGCCAGTGCCACATGCTCGAGTGCCCATCGTCATCATAATCATCATCTAGGCCTATTGCGCCAATGAGGCGCACAGGGCCTGCCGAGTGCCCATAGCAACTATATATAAACGATTTAGCCTACGACTTCCTGGCTTTGCGTTTCAGGTATTGTATCGCTCACCACTGCCTTCAGTTTTCTGTCTTCAACTCGAATTCCATCCACGCCCAGGTAAGTTGTATATAAACTTAAATTAAGTAAAGAGGCTGGAAAGGACTAAAATTATATTCCTGCAGCGCTAGGTAGCTATATAAACGGTGAAGCAATGCCAAGTGGATATAAAGATAAATTGTAGATACTTTTTAGCATTTCGCTCGATAGGATAAATGTCATGATGAAGGTTCATAGTTGTTAGAGAATATTGTTCGATTCTCTAATCTCTATCTGTCATACAATTTTGACTCTTGCCTTTCCGTAACATAGTGGCTAAACCAATGAATCTGCTTCATATACGTGCGATTTCTGTATATCAGTTGTTATCCATATATGCCGATATTTTTATAACTGCTCCCGGTTCAATCTCAAGCCGGTTTTCCACTAGCTATATTTTTCGCGCGAAGCGAATTTATTTCTTTCGATTTCAGTTGTATTTTAACAAAATTTGTTAAAACCAGATGTTGCAGGTGCTCACCTGCGTAGTGAAAAACGTAGTGAAAAACAAGCTTTATATTTCCGCTCAATTCTCAATGAACGTCGTGAAACTTGTGTTATTTATCTCCATTAAGCGAAGTGTTAAAATTACATATGATTTTTTTGCCCATGCATATGATATTTTGTGTGTACAATAAATGATACTACAATGCAAGTGATCCTATGGCAAAGAAAATTCGAAGAAATTTGCATTATGCAAATTCATGACAAGCATATTATTCATTATTCACGATTTCTTGCTATGAACACTATATTTGTTATAAATGTATGGAAAAATTATCCTCTAGCATCCTAGCTGCTTTGCTGGCAGTTTGTCAATGTTTTTCAAGGGATTCGACATTGATATATTTATGATGTCGATAATCCAGCTTGAAATTTTTGCACTAATATGTTCACTTTAGATCTTCGGGTAATATAGCCACCTAAAATTAGCGTTTTCATGCTTTCCTCCTTTTAAGTTTTAAGTTGTCCAAACTATAATCTCAATGGATAACGCGTGATTGTACCAACGGCAACAGTAATCTGAAGTGAATACAGCATGGAACAAAACGAAATCGTCTTCGAAACGAAATAATTATGACGTTGTTCAATAAATACGAGATATAGCTACGCAACGGAAAAAAATGTGCCTAGAATAGACGAAACACTTCTCGACGTTTCGACCAGCAGGGGTTACTTTTTTGGTCGCTTTGTCAAACAATCACGTGCATGGACAATACATTTATATTAATACATTCTTTCCTAGCTGTAACGGTATAGATACAATTGCTTTTGTGCTGTCAATAAACCCTAAGTCTAAATCTAGAACACATTCTATGCATGAGTTACAACAACTATATGACTATGCCGCCTGTGACAGCCTTTCACGACAGGTATAGCATACGAAAGACTCACTTAAGTATATATAGACCTCTTCACGAAATGAATTGATTTTAGCTGCTCATAAATAGATTTCTTTCTTTTTCCTTGAAAATCCCAATAAATTTTAACATTGCTGAAAATCATAGCTTATATACGTACCTTGAATCTAAATTACGAAAATAATTTCTAAATGTTTTATCCAAGAACGATCCTGGGGCAGGTTGTTCGAAAGGCGTTTAGCTTAAACGGTGGATAAGCCAAAGTTTAAAAATACTCTCATATAGGTCTTGTAAATGACTGAACCTGTATCTTATATGCATTTAATATGTACTTTCATTGACAATTAAACTATTTACATCGTAATATTTCAGCTCAGTTTTTCAATAAATAGATAATTTGATTTTCTATTTTTAACTTATCCACCGTTTAAGCTAAACGCCTTTGGAACAACCGGCCCCAGGTTAAATAACATTAATTATACCAACATTAATTATCCAATAGTACTACAAAAGCAAAGAACTTCAGAAGCGTGTTAGTTAAACTTTGTTATAAAATTCGATGCATAATTTAACATATCTTGGAAGCATGAGTCATTGTTTGTGTTACGTGGTGAAACTTAAAGGCTGATTACATAGAGTGTTTTCAGCCCGGGCTGAGTTTCATGCCATGTAATTCAAAAATACCGCTTTGGCCCCGGTGAAACTCAAACCGGGCTGAAAAGAAACCATATAATCAGCCCCTAAAGGACCCGTAAGTTTGATATATAAACATATTATAGATAGAAAATCAAACATGTTTAAGAGAAAATATACGTACTGAGATTTTTACGACGCACACCCTGTGTTGCATCTTCTGCATGTGTTCTTGCGTGGGTTAAACGTAGTATTCATGATGTTAATGTTAAGACTGAAAGATAGCTACACAAAGTTGAAAATGGTTGACATAGGCCTGTTTAGCGTCACGTTTGCGTTTCGTTATAACTGTGAATCTGTATAGGGGGGGAACGTTCGTGAGCTGCCACCATACATGATTGGTGGTACAAAGCGAAAAAAAATGTGAAATTTGATTGTGGCAAACCGGTGCTTTAGGTAACCATTCAGTAAGCTGTTAGCAGTCATAGTTCGAGTATATCTTCCTCTATGTACGCCCTTAACACTAAGTAAGTCCGGGTACTGTGCACGTTACGAATTGTGTGTTGAAAATAGGAAATTGCCGTAAAACTTTAATGCCGGATAAATTAATTTAATTTAATTTAATTTAATTTTAATTTTTTATAATTTATTAACTTCGCCACGGACATATAATAACTAAGTCATTACAACATATATTACCTAACGTTACTAGACAAAAACAAGAAAAAGAAAAATGTGGCAGGGAAATCGCAACAGCTAATACGCCAATTACTGCGGTCCCGTAATAAACGAAAGTAAAACTAAAAAAACGCAAAAAGGAACCCAAAAATAAAAAGCCTGGTTGAAAATCACAATATGATAAGCCTAGTCCATATTAACGCGTGTAACAATAAATATAGAGTTGTATAACGTTGCTTTTGCGTGGACAAACAAAGCGTTTGCAGTTCGTATTAAAACCGAACCTGTCCTTCTTCAGCCAATGAGGCCCAAAACTTGTGCCTGTTTTGCACGCTTTTGTAGCTTACACTACCATTATTGAATCTACAACAACATGCACAATTAAGTGTAAATGCCCTATTTTTGTACATCTTTAAAAACTATATGGTTAAATACACTTTATATCACTATTACATTAATACATTAGCAGGAAATATTTTTCTATGTCGCGTAATATATGCTCAAAACCTCAGTTATATCTTCATGCAACAGCACTAAAAATTTTCAGCATTAAAAATGTTTTGCAAACATAAAAAGCATCCACAAAGTATGTTTACTGTATAATCTCAAAATATTGCGAAAATAAGCTGTGTGAGACAAGTTTAAGAGTTGTTTGCATATTTAAACGCGGTTGTATATCGATCAATTCCTTTCACTTTCGATTCTGTGTCGTTAAGCCATCTGCTCAGGAAATACGTTGATAAAACATTGGAACTTGAACTATTATTCCCGTTAGATATTGATTAATCAACAATTACTTATATAATTATTTAATGTGAAATCATTGCTTTCTTTAAATATTCACCAAACATCATTTACCACGGTATGATCACGGCACAAATACCACGGTACGATCTTCAATGGAACAATAAAATGCATGCAGCAATGATTGTTTTTGTGATGGTTTCATCTGACGAGAGAACGAGTAGCAATTTGCTATCGACATGCACAACATATAAAATAAAACCTTATACATGCCGTTATTTCCTTGGAATATCAAAGTACAAATCGATAGTTCAACCTGATTCAAAACTCGAAATCTTCATTTCACCGTAAAAAATGATAACTTGCATACTTCATTCCGAGTTGCACTCCTGTAGAGATATCTGTAAAAGACCGACAAATTTTGTGCCGCTCACCAGTGTTAGCCAGTAGCCACAAACAGGCTAAGAGTGTATTGGACGTTTGTTCCTGAAAATTAACTGAAATT